TTGAACATCAAAAACTAATAAAAACTGTAATTATATATTTTTAGATTTAAAAACAGAATAACCTACTGGCACTGAACTTTGTTTTAAATTTTGACCCTTAGCCATAAAAGTTGAACATTTTTTAAAATTTTGATTGATACGACTTTTGTCAAAATTTAAAATTTAAATGCTATTAAAAAAAAAATAGTGAATTTGTATTTTTTATATTTTTCAACTGATATTGTAAATATTCATCACGATCTTTGTATTAAATTTTCTAGCTAATTTACCCAACAAATAAAATTGTATTGGCAATTATAGAAAAACTAGATTCACTTTCCTACTAGAAAAGATGCTGGTTGAAGAAAATCGAAGCATTTTTACTGTCCCGAATTGTGATAACAGACAAAAAATATATAAAAGACACATATTATAGTTAAATAAATACGTTCATTGCTCGGCTGGCCAAGAATCTAAAATGTATACTACAATACCAAGGGTTATAATATTAATAGACAGTAATAATGATTGAATGTGAATATTGTGAATTAAAATGAAATGTGATTAGTGATTACATATAATATTACCTACCCAGGCATTACATCACTTTCTGCGGGTGATTGCATTTATGAAGTCTTCACATTTATTTCATTATTTTGGATTCTTAAAAGACGGTTTATTAGGTAGGTTTATTTCGAGTAAATCTCACACTTAAAATGCCGAGAGTTTAATCATCGGGGAATTTTTTTTCCGCAATTCGAGTATTATTTATTTTAGGTATTTTAGTCAAATGTATCAATATTTTGAAAAACGTATTAATTAATCTATTTATCTGATAAAATTTCTGAAAACATTTTAGCTTGTCTTGGCATTTACTCGTAAACGATTTTTTGAACATTTTTAAATTTTTGTATTCACTTTAATATTACTAACATTTTAAAATTCTTAGTTTTAATTAATCAAAATTTCATAACCTAATTTTGAAGGATCTCAATAAAATATCAAAACGTGGAAAAGTTGTTTACAAGCAAACTTCACGAATCATGACGAATTCAAATAATAAATATTTTAGAAGTTATATTTCATAACTAGAGGAATTATGATTGACAGTGAAACTGTCGACACATTTGATATTCGACTGTAAGTTATTTTGGTAGAAAACACAGACGGGATCGAATTGAGAGATTATAAAATAAATATTAAATATAAATAATAATTTGTTATTAATTTAAGGACCAGCAAAAAATAAAAAACAACAGTTACATAATTCGTTTACTTTTGTAGTTCCTTGTTTTTCAGAAATATAAGTATTTTTCTTTGATAATTCGACTATTTTTTAATCATTATTGACATCCATCATGGCCAGTAAACAACTGTACCATGAATACTTTGCATGTCTTATTAGCCCAGACGAGAACTATTTTATGACTAGAAAATGTTTGAATAAAATTGAAAATTGTACGTATACGGTATACCAGTTACGAGTACCTACCATAAATCATAATATTATTTCGTGTTATTTTATCGAAATGACACACTTCAAAATTAATAGGTAGGTATCAATTATACAAGGATTTTGGAACATTAGGTACTTACCCAGATATATAAGAACTTCGGATATTGACAGGATATAATATAGGTACGATTGATTGAGTGTAATAATGCAAGGAATATGCACAATATGAAAGATTGGAATTGATACGTGATTAATAATCAATAAATAATACGTAACTATTGCCGACAAAACGCTAAGCAAAGAACGAGGAACCGATTATTTCACAGCGATCCAAAGTGCGATAGAAGCAAGACAAAGAAAATGAAAAACATTTTGCGAATAATATTAATAATCCCTTTTTTCTGCGGAAATCTCGTCATCGGATGACGGCCTTATGTGACCAAAGTGCAGTGTAGCACACCCAATGATAATTACAGTATAATTATTCCCAATCGTTTGGCGACAAAAAATTGAAAAAATTAAATTATTAAAATACCATATTTTGATAACATTTATCCAGCGGACACGGCAATCACATAGACATAAAAATAATAATTAAATTAAATAATAATTAAATAAAAAATTAAATTAAATATATTAAAAATATATTATTAAGTCTATGGGCAATCAGTATAATTGTCTACACTCTATGCACCTTGCGACAATTTTCGAGGGAGAAATCGGAGTTTAGCGATACGTATCGTTCAACAAGTTACACGTACAGTTGTATACCAGCGATACGTACCGAGTTCCGACCGTATCGCACTTATTCTATAACCAATAATTGAATAATTGTTGTCATTTTTGAAATTGCGACGTGAATCGTGATCATGGTCTTCATACAACATTGTTGTTGTTGTTGTGTAATGCGTACGTCGTCGACTTCATGACGTATTTCATTGCATTTGTGATTTTCTACACACTAGTTACTAGTCAACGTAGGAACTGTTTACAAACAAAAATGGATAGAAATTAATTAATGGATCTCGTCCTAGAAGAAAATGTTGAAACCGGATGAGATTCGTTCGCTCAATGGGTACAGGATGTGGAAGCTTGTGTTGTGACATTAAATCCGAGACTTATCAACGAGAAAAAATAAAAAACTGTATCGTTTTTAACGGTTCTGGTGGTGGGTAGTAGCTAGTTTATTATTCAACTTGGAAAAACTATACATCGGCAAGGTTAGGAACATCTATATTATTAGGCATAGGGAAACACCTTATGCAGAAAATGCACCGTGGTTGGTTAAAAATATTGTTTCATAGTGAGTGCATAGATTGAGCTACATGCATCATTCATTTATTGGCTACTACGATAAGTATAGTGTATTTTAGTACATTTTTAATAAAAATGGTATGTTGGATATATTTTTTTGTGTCCACAACTTTCAGTTCTTTAATATTTTTCCATGAGCATAAAAATTGTACTCCACCATGTTTCAGTTTTTTGTTCAGGTTATTAAATTAGTTATTTTATATATATTTTATAATTTTTATTTTATTCACATTGTTGTTGCTGTTTGCCAAGTTTATATCACGCGATCAATATATTGGAGTTTATTTATTACTTATAAGTTATATATATTTCCATTGTTATTTCATTGTCATTTGTCACTAACTTAAAAATTAAAAAAATAGAACAATAATTATGTGAAGGACGAATTATTCTAGTTCAAGTTGTATAAATACAGAACAGTTATGCTTTAACATATATGAAATAAATATATAAAAAAAAAAAATTAAAATATTGTACTAGTTTGCTTAAGTGATAACTAATAATTCTATAGCTAAACATTTTGTATAATATGATGTAATTATTGATATAACTTATAAATTATAGTACATCCTCCATATGGATCTATTTTATACATGATAGTCTAATAAAAAAATCCATAACTAATTAGTAATTTATTACACAGAATATTGAGTTTCAAAAGGTTTGATTTTGTAAAAAGTAAGGACATTTCAAACAATTTATATTTATCTATAATATATTTTAAACGATAACTAATATAAAATGCTTCCATAGAACGACAAAATAGGCTTTATACTACACTTGTGACCTTTGTTTAAGTCGGCTGCCATTTATGGGAAGGCAAGGTAAACATTTATTAATATACTGTGATAATTGTTTTGTTAACATTGGCTGCTTTACAAATAACAACCAACTTCAATGATAGATGGTGATGGCTATTTGTTGTATATATCCACAAATGATTCTAACTATTTAAATATATATATGTCTCTTACATTCTACACAATATATTTACTTTGTTTCTGGGACAAAAGTTCTATTATCTATTTACTGGTTTATAAAAACAAGTAAACAATCTAAATAATAATTACAAAAAATAAAGGATACTATATAGAATACAATATATTTTTTTTTCTTCATATTAGAAAATAAGTGAGATATGATACTCAATAGAATTTAGACCAATTTTTAAGATTTTTTATTTCACGCAGACATGTAAAAAAAAAATACAAATTTCAAGTTTAACTTAAAACATTTAACTAAATTTAATTCATCTAAGCAATTCAATATCACTTCATTTGATCCCCATTTCAATATAAATATTTAAAAATGTTTTTAAATATAATTAACAACACAATGGAATAATATATAATATAGTAAACATGTAATTTTGAGAATTGAAAATACTTTTTTGTTCAACATCCTGTATAACATTCTTTTGACATTTAAGATAAATTGCACATGTTTCTAAATTTATTTTTCTTTAACAATTATAGGAATCCATAAAATGTTCTATTGATATAATTGAATTAAAATATTACATTCTAAACAAATTATTATAATTTTATATATATAAATACAATTTAATTTGAATAATTAAATATAATAAATTAACTATTAATATAATATATGATTAATACAATTATTACAATACATTAGTTGAGTAAATAGTAATATGTTTATGATAAGGGTTAACAGTTGCTTATTCATTATAAATAAAAATAGAGCTTTAAAAAGTTCTAACCATAATAATTATTTAAAAAATAAAAATTGTATTTTATAGTTTATTATAATTATAATAATAAATAATGGTAATAATTGTATTTTGATAATCAAAACACTATCCTTTATGTATGATATTAGAATTTATTATTAGTACAACTTGTACTTAATCACATTCTTTTCTATAATACTGTGCATAAAAATATAAAATTTATGAATATTTAATAAATGTATAAAATAATAGTCGTGAGTTTACATAATTCAATCATAATTATAATCAAATGTTAACCAAAGAAAAATATTTTTCTATATTGGAAAAGTGCTATAACATATTATAATTTGTAATAAGAATTTGCTAGTTAAAACATATTGAAAAAAAAAAGTAGAAATTTGGCTTCATTAATACCAAGGTTTCAAACTCATGAAATATTAATGTTGTCCATAAATCAATCAAAAGTTTTTGTAAAAATAATGTTTTATCTAAATAATTTTCTAAATATGACAATGTACTTAAATAGCAAATACAATATTATAGATATCAATAATATAATTCGACATTATTTTAAAACTATATAACATTGTTTCTTTTTTTCCTATGAGAACATTAATTGTAATAAATAATTGGTAGTGGAATGTATTACATTGCTTACTTATTAATTGAAATAAAAGAAAAATTTTATTCACATTTACTTTTTACAGTTATCATAATTTGGTTTGTTTGGTGAATTAAATATAAGGCACTGATAAATACTGCATTGGCACTGAAAAAATACAAATTCAATCCATTATTAAAACTTAACTACAAAATATAATTTCTAGTAATAAAAAGTACATAAAATAATCTGTATTTTTCTAAATGTTTAGCAAGTATCATATTTAAGGTACTAGATATACAATTTTGTCACATTTTTTGAAGCCTGTATCATGCCCCAAATTGCAGAAATCTATTTCTAAATAAATCAATTTTGACCGGCAGTTTATTAATGAGTTGTACTAGAGCCAACAATGTGGTATAAAAAATTTTAATGATGCAGTTCTGTGAAAAATGAATTTATAATTAATTGTTGAAATAGTATTTTATCGGTCTTGTTTTATTAACTAATAATACCAATTTGTTCTAATTTGATTGCGGCTATTTTTTAAAATTCTGATATTGAAAATTACCAAAGAAAATATTCCTACATTACTTTAAGTTAAATTCAGTGTTACATAATTACATTTTTGTCTAATTTTTCATGAACAAACATTTGTGAAGTTAGATTAGTGAACAGATATCTAAAACGTAAAAATGTTGTGTAGTGAAGGTTAGTGGATGCTGTTGGTAGGGGTTGGACTAAAATATGATATCCCTAGAACCTAGTCATAGGTAGAACGAATTAAATATAATGAAATATAACATAAATTATTACATTTAAGTTTTAAACGATATTTATCATAAATATAAGTGGCCGCAATAAAAAGTAAATCTATAATATTATGTCATAAGGTGTAGGTATACTATTACTAGTATAAAAACATTGATACGGAAAAAATACGTTAATATGTTTAAAAATAGATAATAATCAACAAAAACAGGCTTACATTGTTCATTTAAAAAATAAATTACCTACTAATACCACGATTTAAGATATACAGGTTGCCCATCGACCTATACCGAAATAATTAAAGTTTGAAGACGAGATTGACTCACAGCCGTGGAAAAAGACGCTAGGGCTTTCTATTATCACAATTTAAATCACAAACTAAATATTCACACTTAATAATTTGAATTTAAGTCATAGATTCTATCCACGATTTAAGATATATATATAAATACTTTAAGTACTCTAAGTACTTATTACTTAGGCGCATACAAAACTTTGTTATTTTGTATAACGTATGGTATTATTTTTACTACTTTTGAGATTGAGACTTCATAGGATATCTTGAAACTATAAAAAAATATTTATTCAAATTGGAAAAAATATAATAAAATTAAGTGCTGAGTGCCTTATTGTAAAACACTATACAAAAGTAGTACTTTTGGTATACCCAAAGCATCATTAGATTTATGGGAAAATACACTAGGTATGAAATTGAATGAAAACGTTCTCATTTGCCAAAAGTTTTTCAAGGAAGAGGATATTATTAGGACATGGGTATCTGATACTGAGTATATTTAGTAGAATATCTTTTGGAAGAATATGGTTTCTCGTATGTGTTAACTGCTAAGTTTTATTTTAAGACTATTAAGTATATTGGTTGTATTATAGCTTGATTATTATAATAAAATCTATATGACTAACATTACAATATTAAATTACTGTTAAACTTGTACAGTTTGAAAGCAGACTTCAATAAAATGTTTTGAAAGTAATATAAAATTGTTAAATTAAATTAGTAAAAAGAATTACAAAATTTAAAATTCAGCAGGCAGCCGGCAGCAACACAGTAATTCACTTTTCTCTCACGGAGAGCGCTTGCTGTAATTTCCAGCACCATGAAGAACTCAATTTGGTACTCACCTTATCATGTGCCGACGGGTAACCTGTATATCTTAAATCGTGACTAATAATGTGTACATCAAATTGTCATAAGCCTTTGTTCATAATGTATTCAGAACAGCTCAAACAAAAACATATTGTTTGTCTTAACATTGCATGTGTTTTTATTGTTTGTATGCTTACCCATACGCTACAGATTTCTGAGAGAAACAATTTAATGTTCTCACAGCCACACTTGACAAAATGTATTATAAATATACAATTGTTTAAAAATTGCTGTTTAAATAAAAATTGTTTTTTCAATAAATATTTTAAGTGTAACATTTTCTTTTTTTCTACAAGCCACAAGTCTACAATGTTCTGTACTATTTTTATTTTTATTTGGGATTCAAAGCTCACTTAAAATAGGCTTGTTGGTAGAATCGTTAATAGGGTAAAACTAAATTGTCAAAATGTAAGTGTCACTTATAATTTGACGGGTATTATATTTTAGGTTTTGTAAAATTAGATTTATGCCATGTAAATAAACATTTACTTACTGTCCTTCCTTGAAGTAATCTTTTAATGTATTACTGAACCGTTTGGAATACTTAACAAACTCACGTTTTCTCTGTTCTAATGCTTGTTTATTGCTAGGCCCTGGAATATATGCAGATACTTCGTTTACTGCATCAAGTAATTTTTTTATAGCACTTGCTATCTCTCTGTAATCATGAATAAAACAATGTTAGTATCTAAATAAAATTGAAAATAACTTTAAACATTTAACATTTTAAATTATATCAAATAATTCTTTGACTTAGATGAGTTGTTATTTAAAAACAAATTGTTTTAAACTTTTGAATTGGTTGTTGAGTTAATACAAAATAATAATGTTAACAAAAAAACACTGAACTAACAAATTAACCATGAAGTAAGATATTGTATTCTCAATACAATATTAAACATTCATTGAGATACTTAAATGTTATATTAAATTTTGAGTATATACAACCAAACCCTCTTTGTCAATAGCAATACCATACTTAAAAAGGATGATTCTTATTTTAAAAATGCAGAACGCTGCAACTTGATATTTTTCATTTGTAAGAAAAATGTATGAATCAAAAATATGTTTTTTGGGGAGGGTAACCATATTAACAATAATAAATGTTACATGTGTAACAGAAATTGATCAGAAAAAAAAATTGAAGCCGGCCATTGAACATAATTATGTTAAAAAAGTTTTTTACTTAGCTGATAAACCCGAAAAGTGAATTAAATACTATTTAATGATTACTACTAAGATATATTGTATAATATATATTTTTCTGTTTTTATACTTATATTTGATTTTTAACAGCTCTGAAATAGATTGTGTTTTTAAAATGGGTTTAAGAAGACACAACTAATAAATTTTGTTCATATCAATAAATCTAATACAATTAAAAACAGAAAGTTAACTTTTAATTGTTATCTGTTGATCAGTTACTAATTATTTGCAAGTGATTTTGAAGAATATTTGTGTTGTGTTCTTTTGTTGGCTTTGTAATAACTTTTATATTTAAATAAATGTATATAAGAAAGCAAGTTTATATACATATAATATAGATAACTCAACACACAAGACTTAATCTAAACAAAATAAACAATGAGAAATATAAATAAATTAAGTGAAAAAAAACGAATGTCGCTACTTTAACAGTAGTAGTCAGAATCTAAATACCTAACTGAAAATAAATACTTTTCAATCAAACTTATGGTGTTCGATTAAGTCATAAAAAAGAGTTGCCACACATTATGTGTTAGTAATAAAACTCTAAAACTATAAAAATTCTTTAAAAAACATTTAAATATTTTTGATAACTTACTTAATTGTTTCCAAAAAGGTTTTACGATCATTGATTTCATCAGGTATGCGACTTAATATTCGTTTTAAGGCCACAGACTTTTTATTTAATTCTTGAAATGCATCTTCAGATCTATTTAATCTATATTCACCACCTAAATAATATGTGGATTTTAAAATATTAATATTTTGTATTGTAAAATACTCAATGTAAAATGAATAATCTTTACATATGTTCTCAAATTTAAATAAATCTAATGCTAATTATACATTAATACTTAACCTTGATTTATTTTATCAATTAAATTTCCATAAAAATATTTAAAATTTGATAAAAAAAAAATTAATATTTAATACTTAATAAATACTTCAGAATTTTTAAAATCAATTACCCACAAAACAAGTTTTCATAAAAACTAAACACATAACATTTCTTAACCTACCTTTCTACAAAAAATATTAAAAAAAAACAAGGGACCCTTTAGAAGTATAAAACTTTTTTAATATAGGTAAATACAACATTCGTTTTTATAAATAACTAGAGTTTAGGACTTACAAGTTATAGACATCAGAATAACTGCAGAACACAGCGGTTAAACACTTCATTGTAAACATTCAAATAAGCAAATTGAGCAAAAAAAAGCAAGACAAAAATTATCAAAACAATTTTTATACTTAAAAACATAAACAACAATTCATCTTTAAAAAAAAAAAACTTAGCGTTTTTGAAAAGGTTTTAACTTCTATATTATATATCTTATCAATACACTAAAAAAATAAAATTACAATTTTATTAGAATACCCAATCAAAAAATAAATTTACTAATCCGGCTGATTAGTAGATAAGGAACCAAATAAGTGCCCCATTGTTTTTTACTAGGAAAACAATACAAATGAGAAATATTATTTTTAGTTTTAGCTTTAAAATGGAAAAAAACAAAAAAAAATAGAAAGTAATTAAAATATCTAGGTTTTTGTCAGAGGCAAGTGTCATCATAAATTCATAAACCATAATTGAACAGAGATATGCAAAAAAGCAAAATTAATATGGTGAGAGGCATTTTTTGAAAATCATTAAAAATACTTCCAAATTTCATAATTGTAACATGACATTTACAACCATCCACTCTTTGCTAGCAGAAGAGCAAATCTAGATTTCATGTCAAACCATACAAATAAGCAAATGTTACAAGTCTCAAGCCTTGATTATAACCATAAAATATACAATATATCTTGTATTTTTTTAAATTTTAAATTTTAATAATTTTATGTAATAGATTTAATTTAAATTTGTTATTAATTGAACTGATTATTACCTAGAGCAGGGATTCTCAAACTCTTATAAACACTGTACCCCTTTTTATCAATATGTTTTTTTTTCAGTACCCCCTTCTTAGTTACTTAACTAAAATATATATAAAAAATTTCTTCCTTGTTGGTTTGTTGGCCAGACTTGTACCCCTTAAAATATTTTGAGAAACCCAAGGGGTACGAGTACCACAGTTTGAGAGGCCTGACTTAGAGTACAATATTTACTATAAACATTCTCAGTTTTTCATAAACAATAATTAGGTATTAACAACATTTTTGGTTTCACAAAATCTATTGTTTAAATTTTATATGAACCAAACACAATTAAGTTGTCTTAATAATTTTTACAAAATGTTATAGTTTTATTCCAATCCATGAAGTTGGTCAACATGAATATTTACAACTGATTTACTAATATACCTATTACCACCTACAAGTAATTATGTCAAATATATATTTAGTTGTAACAAATAAATAACCATCTTTGTTAAATTTATATACAAATTGTATTTATATATATTCTATACCTAGTTTATATAATGATATAACTACAAGAGAAAATTTCAGTATTAAGTGCCTACTTAGCACTGAACTGTTAATATAGAACACACATTGTGTATAATTTGTACAATTAAAAGTGCCCCCTTATAGGAATAATGTTTTGTAAAATTTTAATAGTGTAATACAAGATATAACTATATAAGTAAGTGTAATATTCTGTTAAAAATACTGTAGAATAGTTACTACATTAGATTATTATTCAATAGACCTATGACATTGACTATAAAATGGTTTTTAAATATACAAAACAGCTAACGGCAATGTTATTAAGCATTATGATATATAAGGTAAAGGTAGATAAGATATTTAAATGTTATAATAAATTATTAGATACACAATTTACATAAAAAATAAGTGGCTGATATAAATAATCTGAGTGGTTTGGGAATACTTTATGGTTGGGTATCCATATAAAAAAATTGGGTAGGTACTAGGTTGACTTTTAATTCATCTTTATTGTTTCAACTGAATTAGTAAGGGTTATTAAAATTTTAATCTTATTTAAATTGTAAAATATGCTCTAAAAACTGTAAAATGTTACACAAATGAAAAAGATTTTGTATCTGTAATCACAGTCTTATGAAACACATTATTTTGTGCTAACTAAGCCATAAGCATACACTACAATCAACCGTTACAAACATGCAAATTTATATGAATGCAAGTATTATTATTATTATTAACCTATTGATTAATAATAGAGTTATATTATACAATATATTGTATACATAATACATCAATGGCAGTAGTTCATAAACATCTTAAATTGTAAAAATTAAAATTAATAATTACACCTATACTTTTTATATTTTTCACCATTTTCCCTACACAAATTTCACAAAATAAAAAAACTAGTCTCATATTATAATGTTTAATACATTTCAAAAATAAACTAATGCTAAAATATAAAACACTTAATGATTAGGTAGTAGGTACTTAAAAATTTACCTTCTAGGTCAGAAACTGTGCCTTGAAGTCTCAATACACTCTCATTCATATTAATACTAATATCACCTTGTTTCATTATTCCGGCAACCAAATTATACGCAAACCCTGGATGAGTATTTTCAGTTTTAAACAGTGCTGACCGTAAAGTTTGAGATGCAGAAACATTGCGTTTCTCTAACTGAAAATGACAACAAATTTAATGTTGTTATAATATGTTTGTTTAAAAATCAAAAATATGATAGAACCAAAGAAAAGATATTAAAAAACATTTTCGAAGGGATTGTTACAGTGTAGAACATTAAATACCTGAGACAAAATCGGCCTGATCAATACTGGTAGAACCAGAGAACTGACTGGCGTTTCGTCGCTCATTTTCATTATTTAGCGACAGAGTTGAACAGAAGCAATAATTCAGACATCAGATCTTTTTCCTGAGACGTTTGGAACCGTCGGCCAGACGGGACGGCGTTGTACGGCCCCGGGGCGTCCGCGATCGGTGGTCGCGTACGATGTTTTGGTCGAAACGAAAAACGGTCGTGACCGCGTTACATGTCGTCCGATGATTTCTTATTCGCCGTCAATCGAACGACGACGATCCTGTTGGCGGTGCTATTGTAGTTTGTCGTAGTCGTTGCGTGTACGGGGAAATCGGTAAGAAAACAACGCTATCAACGGAATAATAATTCGTGTAATATTAGAGTGAAGCACTTCTAGTTCGGGGGACGAGAACGAGAAAAAAACAATGATAACGATAAGCAGGACCGCCCGCCCATCGGCCAATGCGAACGACAAACGTTAGGCTGCACCAGGGCGAAACGTTCCGGAAGCGCGCCAAAGTTTGAACGTCGGCGACCCGAAAAAACAATAGTATAAGTATAAGTACCTATTAGTTATTACTTATTACTATTTATTAATATTATTAATCTGCATAATTATAAGTTTGACAATATTTGGATTTTTCTACGTCCTTCATTTGATCTAGTGTTATGATGAAATTTATTTACATGTGTCAGTGTACTATATATTTTAAATCTTATAAAAAGGTTTACTAAAAATTCATTTGGAAAACTATCACATGGACGAGTAAAAAAAATAGCGTTGATCATTTTATCTTTTAATTTCTGCCCTACATGTTCTTCTAGCATACATTTTTAAAAAACATAAGTTTGTCCAATTGAAAAATGTAGTGAAAAAAATCAGAACCTGGAACTATCAAACTACCAAATAAGGAATTCGAGTCCACGGCGAGTGATTTAAAGTGTATTAAAAGAATATTATCCTTGAGGTTTGATGACGAATAGGCATATTCAAAGCATTTTTCACAACTGTGGTACTTTAAGCAAATGCTTAAATACTCATTAAAAAGCCACAAATGTATGTAAAAGCATTTTGCTCTGGCAGCTTTACATTTTTATATGATGTGTTTTCAACAGGCAATGTTGGGACGTTTATTATGGGATTATTTCCAGTTATTAATATATTTACCTTTGATGGGAAGCTTTATCCAAATTTGCTAACAAACTATATAAATCATTGATGCAATTAGCATTTTCTGAATGTTGAAAATAGTTAAGTCAAAAAAGCTTTTTAAATGTTCTTTGAAATTTAATTTGAGTAGGATTTATACAGTTACCATTTTGAGTTTAAGTTATACCAAAAAAGTTTTCCAGACAATCTTGGTTTAGTCTGTTTGTAAAAATTGTCTGAACTTTATTGTTTTCATTTGATAAATTTGAATAGTCGAAGCAAGCCTGCAATTGAAACTAACAAACCATGGACAAATTTTATATTACAAATCTTAATAATATCATCCTATTTATTAGTTATTGTGTTAAATTCTAAAATTTGTAAATTGGTGAAGTATTCAGACATTTTATATAAAAATTCAATGATTTGACAAGATAAATGTCTGGTTATTCGTTAGTAGATGAACGAGAAATAAATTAATCAAACAACTTATCCATTGAATCGATAAAATCTATAGTACCTTTTGCTGTTGTTAGTAACTTTCCTAAAGTCATCAATGTTTCTAAACTTGCAGCAACTGTGACTCATTACATGACAAGCATATTATATTTCACTAGCATTTTTTGAAATGAGTTAGGATTTAAGTGAATTTCAGTTAATTTTGGAGCAAGGCGTGAAGTTGAATTTTTTTCTAGGTCAAACAAAAGGTTTGAAGATGATCTTTTTCTGCTACTTTATCACCAGATTGAAATTTATAGGAGAAGAAATTATTTCTTGTAGCTTTTAACAAGTGTGGGGGGTCAAACATAAAAATAATTTCTTTAGTACCAACGTTGAAGTATGGTTTACTAGAAGATATACCCAATGATGTAAAACATTAAAAGTAAGAACCAAGGTCTGAAAATCTTTAAACAATTTTGACGAACAAATCACACCACCAGATGGATATATTAAATTTTAACTTAAAATATCAATGAAAAAAACGGTTTATTTTTCGGATTTTTAGGTTGAAATATACACAGTTAAGACTTATGAGGAATCTTATTTAAAATTTTCAATCCTTAGCTATAAAGATTAAAAATTTTATACATTATTTAACTACAAAATTATTGGCAAACTTTGTGATTTCTAATTTTGTCAAAGTTTTGATTGTAAAAAATTCTTGCCTATGAATCTTTAATATTTCTCAACTGTTACAAAAACCTTTGAGAAAATTTGTATTGAATTTTCAAGATTTATGACAATAATTAAAATAAAAATTTTAAAAAATTGAAAATTTCTCATGATTAGAATTAATTCAAAAAGAGTCCAACAGTTTTAAAAATGTTATCAGGTATGGAATAGGCTAATATTAACATTTGGTGAAAATTGAAATTATTTAAGGTTATTCACTATCATTATGCTCATAAGTCATAAACTCATAAATAATAATTAATGTAACATTCCAGTAAACTTTATTTGGTGAAAGGTAGAAAAATTTCCTTCAGAAGTATGAGGAAGCTGGAGTAAAATTTTCAAATGTTAGCTATAAAAAATAAAAATTAATTTTACAAGTTTTTGATAGATGAAAAAAATCGAAAATTTCTCATGGTTAAAAAGTCAAAATATTTTTAAAATTTTATCACGTATAAAAACTGTTCATACAAACATTTTGTGAAAATTTTAAATATCAACGGTAGTTAGTTGTTAAATAACACATAAAAAACAAAGTAGATATTTCTGAAAAGTGGTTTTGCGTATTATAATTTCTCATTTTCTTTAATTTATTTGTCGTTTTTCCCGATATATTTGACTACTGGGAATTTCTTACTTTTGGCTAACTCAAAAATTAAAAAAAAACTATACAAAATCAAAAATGTAAAACATTAGCAAAATCAGGATAATTTTTAAGGTATTTTTCATATCTTTTATTTCTTAAGAATTTGTAAGTTTGTATAAAGCAATGTTGATACTCAAAAAGCATATGAATAACGTTTATGTTACTTAATAGTTTAGCTTTGAAATGTTGAAACCATTATGGACTATTGAATATACAAGTTATTTAAACATACAATACCTGTCGATAGACCATTAAATTATAATTATTACACTGGAGAGGCATAAAATCCAACCACAACTGTTAAATAATATGCAATCCACAGCATTTCCAGTGAGACAACACTTATGATTATGTGAGCAGTATATTTAAAATTTGTTTTTGCTGGACAGATGACAACACTGTTGTATATTTGATATACAGTTTCCTACTTTTCCTAAATTTTGCTTTCATATGAACACTGTCCAAACAATAAAAACACAAAAAAAATCAGCCAAATCAATCAGTCAAGCAGCAAATTTTTCTTACTAAAATAGGTACATGTTATTTCAACAAACGTCTTTTCTGTTTCTACAAAGGTAAGTTCATGTAGTTTTCTTTGTAAGACAGCAACATTACAACATCATATGCACGTGATTGCGATTTCTTTGCAATACTGTTTTAATGGTCTTGAAGATTTTAGAAACTATTACTACATTTAACAATAACTGGTGGGGACACAATTTATTTTAACGCATATTTGTCTTATGTGAACAACTCCTGATTTGCATCACTGATAGATTATTTTTAACTATAACATTAGTTATATGAAAACATTCCATTCTGTGTTAATGACTTACATTATTGTCAATAAAAATAAAATGATGACTGCACTGGGCATTAAGTACAATCAAAACATACAATGTTCATGTATTTACTGGAGTGGACATTTTATATTTTTATGGTAAACCCTTTCTGTTATTTGACATCATCAGTAAAAAATATACTTTCATATACTAAGAACCAAATGATATTATAAATTATTAATGATAATAATATGTTAGCATTTTGTGCATGTATTCTATCACATGTACAATAGTAGATAGCATAGTATAAAATGGGATCACAAGCTATGTTTGATTAAGAAAATGCAGAAAAATTAAGTAATAGATAATATAAAATTATTTAATGGTATACAACATAATTATTATGACATTGATAATTGATTACATACATCAAATTACTTTTTATTTATATAGTAATAATACATAATAATAACAATACCACAGTAACAAATGTAAGAACGCATATCAGCTTATACATTGAATTATGATATAATTTGAACATTCCATGTTTAATATTTATTTAAGCTATACAAATACAAAAAAATATTTTATTGTAAGAAATAGTTACAATACATTGAATGTTGATTACATAAATTGAATTAAAATATAATTGATAAACGATACATATGTCTTATAAACTAAGCTTTTATTGTAACTCAATAATATAGTACTTTGTATATTATAATTTACACATTAAAAAAATGTAAAAATATATAATAAAAGGAAAGCGACAATTTATTAACCAACCTTGTTATTCTCTCTCTAATATACTGGAATATATTTTATGAACAATTGTAAAGGTATTTTTACAGATAGCACAAATAAATAGTCTGCAAACTTAATGAATACGATTGAATATACTTAATCAAACAGCAGAAAAATCATACAGATGTTTTAGTAGTAATAAATACTACTATCCTGACTAGGTTAAGAAAATAGTTAATTGGCTTGTCTCAATCGATTATAAACTTAATAAATACTTCTGTATAGTAGATGTTGGAATTTAATTTAATACCAACAATTCATTTGTAATGGTTATTCTAACATAATATGGATCATAATAAAAGGTCTATAACATAGCAAAGCACTCTTTAAGAATACATCATACTGAAGAAAAACTATATAAATGATTTATTTGCAATGACAACTGTGTTGAATTGGAAAAAAACATGTGAGAAAATATCCTACACACTCATTTTTAACGTTTAAAAGAAAAATGATTCAATGAATTCAGAATGCACCTCTATTGATTTAAAGTTGATGCTTGAGAAAAATAGTTATTATCGAGAACTTATTTGTATGGTGATTCTCCCGTATAAATCTCAATAGAAGTTTTGATATCCTAGCAAAACTTACATTAAAATCTAACATACACGGGAGAAAAACCATACAAATATTTTCTTCATAATAAATTAATTTGTACTATGTTTACTTAAATGTTAAAATATTAAGTTGATGCTTGAAAAAATTCTGCAATTGAAATAATATAATTTAATGTTTTTCAGACATTATTGATTGATTTAATTAAGAGATATGAAAACTACTGTGTTAAGTATAAGTTTAAGATTTAGAGGAGATTTACTAACAACACAACATTTACATGGCTATTCTCAGCTATACATTTCAATGAGAAATTTGATAACCTAGCATATCTCACATTAAAATCAAACATTCATAAAGGAGAAAAGCCATATAAATTATACACTCTCGATTTCAAATGATATATTTCGGGAAAATAAAATTAAAAGGTTTTCAAACATTTTTGGTGAGATTAAATTAAGGGATATGAATACTAGTAGTAGATACACCTTTAAGGCTCAGAAGTGATTTATTAACAACAAATCATCTGCAGGTATCTACACCATTATACATTTTAATAAGACATTTGATAACCTAGCAAAACTCACATTAAAATCAAATTTTAACAACGGGGAATAACCATTTAAAATGAATAATACTAAGTTGGCCTTAAGTTGATGGTAGAGAAGAGAAAAAAATGATTACCAACAATTCATATGTATGGTTGTTCTCCCGTATACATTCTAATGGAAGTTTAGATAACCTAGCAAGACTTACTTTAAGAATACAAATTTCACATGAGGGAAAAACCATACAAATTTTGTATGAATAATACTGTGTAGACTTAAGATTGATTCTCGAGAAAATTATTTATTAAAAATATATGTTTTAAATGTTTTTCAAACATTTTTATTTTCAAATGAAGTGCCATGAATACTACTGTTGGCTGTAAGTTTATAGTTCATTAAATTAGTTATAAACAACTCATCTACATGGCTATTCTTTGGTATAAGTTCTTATGGGAGTTTTGATAATCTAGCAATACTTACATCAAGATTGAAAAGTTAATACCAGAGAAAGGCAATATGAATGTTTCTTTAACAAATAGTAAGTATTATGTTGACTTTAAGATGGTGCTTGGGACAATTATTTACTATAAATATCTTTTTGGTTTCTGATTTATTAAAAGGCTATGAATATTACTTTAGGATTTAGGTTGATGGTCGAGCGAAAAATAATTACCAGCAACTCATATGTATGGTTGTTCTCCAGTATAAGTTCTTATGAGTTTTGATAACTTAGCAAAACTTACATTAACAACACCAATATTCACACGGGGGAAAAACCATACAAATGTTTTATTCGTAATAAATAGTACTGCATAGAATTATGATTGAAAAGCCTAACCTTGAGAGAATTATTTATTGTGAATATGTGATTTATGTTTTTTATAGCATCTGGGATTCAATGAATTATTAGCCGTAGGAATACCGCTCTTCTTTCACCAATCAGTGTTTGAGAAAAAGATTCAAAACACAGATTATTTTTTATGTATTTCTCCAGTATAAATGCTAAGGACCAATTTTGATAACTTAGAAAAATGTATATTTAATTCATAAATTAAAATTAGAGAAACACCATACAAATGTTTTGTTTGTAATGAATACAACTACAGGGTTAAATTTAAGTCGCTGCTTTAGAATAATATGGTTCGATACAGATGCATGATTGTATGACTTTTCAAAATTAGTAAGACAGAATTTTGAATTTTGAGTAAGAATTTATAACCAACAGTAAACGCAAATTGTATACTTTTTTAGATGTTCTCACCTTGTGTTTAGTTGTAACTTGTTGATGCTAGACGATTGTTATTCTTAAGATTGTTTTCAATTTTTGACTGCATTGCATACAATTATCACAGATGCAAATGATGGGACATAATTGTTTTCATTTATGTAATAAAATAGTATCATAGTATAATCAATTATTTACACTCCAATTTTTATTTGATCTTCATTTTCTGTAGTGTATATAGAAACATGCTGGTACCTGAAACAATAATAATTTTACACTATTTATCATAAATATTTAATTTATTACCTAGTTTGTTTAGCTTGGTATTTGAGTTTTTACAGAAAGTAACAATAAGATGTGTAACTTAAAATTAATATTTAAGACTAATTGTCTTTTCAAAAATGTGTCCAAGTCAGTGATTAGTAAACATAATAAAAGTAATTTACGAAGTGTCTTAACTAAGTATTTAAATTAAAATATTTTAAAATAAATAATTCTAAGATACAAATTTAGGACGATGTTAAAAAAATATTCATTAAAGAACGAATTCAAATTGTTCAAGTTGTATATCTTTTAATATAAATTATATTTACACTTTAAAGTACTATGTATCGTACTTACTATAAAATAAATTATGATGTGAGTGACGTAGCAAATTTTATGCTCAGCACATCGCATTTGGCTCGACTAGTAAAAAAATTAGAATGAAATGACCTGTCATAAAATTTAAAGGTAAGATTATTATCTAGGCATTTTATTTTATTTAATGTTAAAACGAGTTACGAGTACTTTAAAATTGTATATTGCTTAGATATCTTACAAAACTCATAATTAGTCTTAAAATTAAAATACAATAAAGGTCTATGCCATAAAAAGTTAATCTTACGTTTAAATTTTATGATGTCAATTCGCCATCATTTTTAAATCAACAGAGCTATATGTGATTTGCTGAGAGAACACTAAGGTATAATACGGAAACAAAAAAATTAATCTATAGAAAAACAAAGTTTCTACAATATGTACAACAGCCTACTTCATAAATCATTATTGAAGGACATACAATTTGAAACAATGATAAAATAATGCTGTTTAATCTCAAAAGACAATAATAAAAAATAGCTTTATCCAATGTAAAATTATTCAAACTTAGATGAAAATATATGATTGATATAAAATTCATAAAAATAATTTGATGTTTTATCCACTTGTTTACATTACATTGAAAATGTTTGTTTAAATTGTTTTAATATAATTGTCTAAAACCATTTTACATACAAGGCTTAAGAGGGATTCAGCACTGTTTGTTTTCTTTTTTTAGCCCCCCAGCAACATAAATTTACTCAAAATCATTTTTTTTTGAGAGTAAGACATATCAATTTGTCTATATATTCTCTCAAAACAATTTAATATCCATTTAAATTTACAACAATGTATTTTATATTTTTGAAGTTGAATATAAATAAAGTTACAATACAATATAAAACTGATTTATCAAACTTTCAATAATATTATTTTCTATTATTTCCCAAAGATAAATAGTACACTATCATATAATACCTATTTATGAAATACTGGTTTGGTATAAACAAGCCCTATATTGTATGGCTAATGTACTTAAAGCAGTGAGAATAATGGGCATTTTACTATTTCCCTATTTGAAATTCACAAATTTGAGAATTACAGGGACAACAAATAAAATAGCAACTGAGTATCACAAAACAAGCAGGTACTCTCCATAAAGAAACTAATAAAAGATACTTACCATTGGCAATCATAATCCATCATCAGTTACCATCATAATCTAACCGCAATTCGGTTGGCTCATCAATATGTTTTTGTAGGACATTATTTTCTTGTTTGATGTACACATTTAAGTACAGCAGAATAACAATTATCTGAATATCAATCCACCGGGCTCAATAACTTGTAATCGTATTTTGTCATTCCACATAATCATACTTGTAGATTATATATTAGCAGTTTTAGTATATATTTATGTGTACAAATTATTTTATAAAATATTAAAATTGAATGCTGATTATCGATAATCACCGCAGCTTCAGTATGTATTTTTCAGTTAGTCAGGAGATGTCTAACCTTCGTATTAGTTTGTCAGTCATTATAACATATACTAAATGTTCAACTTTTAAGGTGCTTTATTTTAATTATCTAGATATTAATGTAATGGGAAAATCCACGCCATCAATAAATTTTCCGGATAATCAGCATTCTACGGTAATTTATTTTTGGTCCATATTTTATAGATGAAATCTTCAACAACTTGGATATTTGTACTATCAGTACATGCCTAGACAAAAAAAAACATAAATTACTAACTTGGAAGAAGTTATTATAATGTATAAAATTGATATAAATGTAAATAACTAGTTAAGGCACACTTCTATTTGGTCAACAATTATGTTAAGTAAAAATTGAAAAAAAAATTATTATTAATAATTAATGTTAAAAATTCAGGTGTCAGGGAAGTACTCAAAAAATTAAGCATTAAAAAAATATCAATATTGAATTGTTTATTTATTTGCAACGTTATTATATTATTCTTCAGTAGAAATCTAGATACCATTGCTATTTATAAAATACAATTTAATTTGTTGTTAAAACGCAATAGAACTGTAGAAGGAACTGAAATCAAACAGAAGCATTATTCTAAATAAAACCGATTTATTTATTAAATTGTATTAATAACTATTAGTGATTAGTATGCCAGGCATTTTTTGTTGTTCTTTTATAATAGTATGCACCCACAATTTTAATATAACTATAATGTAATGTACTTGAAACTATTTACATACTTTTTATAAATTAATTTATTAATATTAGTTATTTACAACCTAAATGCAACATTAAATGGCATGACATACCGAGTTTCTAAAAATATTTAAATTGAAAATGTTATTCAACATTAATTGTTATGCAGTTGTGCATTATTATACAATAATGTATAATAATTGGACAATATTGTCAACTATCGCTACATTGGTTAAAAGGAGGTACGAATATTCAAAATGTATTATCTTTTATTATACATGAATATTAATTTCTTAAATAATTCATGATACAAAATATTATTATAAAAAATATACCTGTTATATATGTATACCAGAGATATTATGAATACTTTGAAACAAAGACAGTCGCGTGGTGAACACATGTCACCAGGAAAATAAAAAATTATATATGTCTGCTCTGAACAACAATAATTTAATAACTGAGCTGATAATGATCAAAATATGACTCATGAGAGTTACTACAGATAGCTCAAACATATATTGCATTTAAGCAAAGCTCGATAAGTGAAGTAGTTTTTTCAACTAGTTAAAGTAAGTTACTTTAATACAAAAACAAAGTTAGAATATAAGTTAGTTTCTGAAATTTTCCAAATTGCTAACTTAGTTGGTTTGGTGAAAATAGTAACTTAAGTTAGAGTAGAAATTATATGTTGGATTTTTTTATAGTTTAAAATTGGTTTGTTAAAAATATACTAAGAGGATGTCACAACCTCTGTGGCGTCTCCATCTTACATAGGCACAACATAGAAAAAAACTGTTTTGGGCGTATTTAGTACTTATTGTTTTTAACAAGTTGGACTAGATTATTTTAAACATTCTACCAATCTAGTTAACTTACAAAGTTAATATGAATTAAGACTAACTTGTTAGTGCCTAACTTTGTATTTAAGAAGCATTATCCATAGATATATAAAACAACTAGGTAGTTGACTCCCTATTAGCACATGCATTACTCCTATTTAACACACCAGCAATGTTCACATAAAATACCATGAAAATAAATTGTGATCAATATAGTATACATAATATATATAATTTTAACACTAGAGAATAAAAGAAGTACATGTTCAATTAATTAAGCCATCATCTATTTATATTGTATAATTGCTTAATAAGTCTCAACAATACATCAAAAAAATATTATCAAGGTAAAATATTGATGTGAAAATAAAATTTGTTTAATGAATATGTGCTGTGTGCTTTGTGAATTTAACATATTAGACGAGAACATTTAGCCAAATGATAACCCTGTTCACAATTTTATCAGGATTAATTTAGTAAATACATTATCCAACAATCTGTTATTATTTCTTCAAACTCACTACTTCATTACTAGAATGCAAATCAATAAGTGTAGGAAAATGTTTATAAAGCACAATGCTGTAGATCACATTGAGCGAATTTATTCATTACTACAAGAATAGTAAATGCAATAGGCCAAATCACCTACTGCTTGACCGCAAATCAAATTTATGCTACTCATTGCTATATCAATTTGTGTTGTCTACATGGACACCTAAATCACTAGCACATTAGTCGCAACTGGGCAAGTTGAATACCTTAAGTGAAAACGGACTTGTCGTTATGTAGTCACTCACTCACAACTTTAATCACTGACAGAAAGCGAGTGAATTCGCCTAATATTATCTACGCCAGAAGTAAGTGATCACTAAACACGCCATGTAAAAAGTACGAGTTTCTTTACTTACCAACGAGAAAAACACCAGACGACCGACACTGCCCACGGTCATAAGTCACGACTTCGATGAATAATTACAGTTGTTACTTTTTTACTATTGCAGAGAAGTTTTTGGGTAATCGATAAACGAAAATATGAAATTAACTATAATTTATATTTTATTCTGTGACTTAAGGTCCCCACACACCGCAGCGGTGGCGGTGGCGATAAAATGAGTCCGGACGGCGGACACAATTTACCGCGACCGCCAAGACAAAAGAATTTTACCGCCACCGCTGCAGTGTGTGGGGACGTCCTCTATGAGTTGTAATGAAGGTGAGTAGCGACGGTGAAATCGTGAAATGCAAAGCAAATGTCAAACATCAAACAAACAAACATAACCTAACTTATGACTAGGCGTCCAAGCGTCCAAGCCATCAGTCATCACCGACAATCGGTGAATCGGGTATCGCTGACCAAAAGATCATCATCTGGCTCTCAGAACCATGGTTTACATACGCAATGATGGGAAGATAAAGTGATAACTGATACTAATCGCAGAGTTCTGCCCACCCCCTCACCCATTCACGCGGTAGACATTATCAGTAAACACGCGTCAGTGATAACATTAATTTTTTGGGAAGTTATTGTTTGTGTGGCGAAGAGTTACATTTTACATAAATACGTAATATTATTTTTTTATCTATCTGCTCCTCAGTCTACTCAACATTAAGAACATAGAATTATAATCTATGAGAGCCTGTGTGCGCAAGTTCATCGTAAACACGATTATTATTACTATCTAAGTGACAATATGTCGTCGTCGTAGACCGGCGGGTGTTTGTTGATTATTCACCGCCGCCTGATAAAAATATAAAACTTGCACTCTGTAGTCTGTACGTACGCACGCCAGCGCCGCAGCCCCGTCCCCTCTCCATCGCCAACGACGCCTCAAACTTTTGCCGACCGACAGACGACGGTTAATCGAGAAACTTTCAATACCTATCGACTACCGATGCTCGTCGTGGTACTGTTGGCCTAGATCGTAAACGTTAATAATAGTATAATATATTCAATAAATTGTATACATGTGTGATATGTGTATAAAACAAATTGTTAAAAATGCTATGACGTTCAACACCATTACATAAACTATTACATTCAACGTGTTTGTGTAACCTTCATGTTTATTGACAAAAGCATCTGTTTGTTACAAATCATGGGAAATTGGACTAGTTGTTGCTCATACAGCAGCCCCTTGTCTAGGCGCAAGGATGCCAACGGCGCTATAAATGAATTCACGCAAGAGGGCGAGGAGAGTGTTGGGAACTTACAGCACATTAGTGAACGCGAGCATGACGACTGGAACACTGACCCATCTGTTCATCCAAAAGTTGCTACAATATTTTTAGAAAGATCAAAAGTTGAAAGTAAGTTTAATATCCAAGCCACTTATTGTCTATTTTTAATTAATTTTACTTGGTTCTTATTGCAATGAGATGCCTACCCAAACTGGTCTTAGAGTCTTAAAACATGAATTTGTGATTCCATTCAATATTATATTAGTATTAAGTAACATTGGCCGTTTTTTTCTACAAATAGGTGCTTACAACTTCCAAATGACCTTAAATACATTTTTTAGTTTCTTAAAAATAAGATAAGTAATTATTTTTGTGTTTTGAGTTTGAGCTTACTTGCTTACTAACCTTAAAACTATTTAAACAACTTATCCTTGCTTAAATATATCTAGTTTATCTAGTAACTCTTTTACCTAACGATAAAGGTACCATCCACTAATAACATAATGAATTCTATTTCCTCCAATATTCTCACAATGTAAATTTTGCAGTATGTTAACATTCAATTTATTATTTTAAATGTTAATGGCTAATGTGAATACATTTTGTTTTCAATTAAGGATCTTATTTATTTATTAGAACCTATTTTAATATAAACACATTTTTTTCAGATGGTTTAACAAGAAAACAAAGTCAGTCTCAGGTTTGTATACTTATATATTTTACTGTTTATAATACTGAAATTAATGAGTTGCACTATACGTTTGATATTATACAAAGTGTTTTTTGTAGTTATTATAATAACTTAAACTATTTTGTACATTTTTAAACATTTTGCAGATTGTAGACTTCAGATCTCTAAAAAAAAGTAGTTCATGTTCAACTATATATTTAGATGATAGTACAGTATCTCAACCAAATCTAAAAAATACAGTAAAATGTGTAGCACTTGCAATCTACTATCATATAAAAAATAGAACTTCTGAAAGACAAATTGAAATTTTTGATGAAAAATTGCATCCTTTAACTGTAAGTATGAATTTAATGAACTCTTAATGATTATATTTATTTAAATATTTTACTTGAATTATTAGAGGGATAGAGTACCTGATAACTATGATGTTCATAGTCCAGAACATCGTCATATATATAAATTTGTTCGAACATTATTTAATGCTGCACAATTAACTGCTGAGTGTGCTATTATAACATTAGTTTATTTAGAAAGGTAAAGTTATTATTATTGTTATTTAGTTATTCTTATTTTATTCATTAATTAAAGAAAAAAATTATAGGTTATTAACTTATGCAGAAGTTGATATAACGCCTGCCAATTGGAAAAGAATCGTTCTTGGGGCAATTTTGTTGGCTTCAAAAGTATGGGATGATCAAGCTGTATGGAACGTAGATTATTGTCAAATTCTTAAAGATATAACAGTAGAAGATATGTATGTACAGTTTATATTAATATTTTTAACTTGTGTATTCTAAAACTTTTTACTTCAAGTAGCTTATTATATTACCTTTTTTTTTTTTTGTCCCGTTTTTCACCGACGGCGTCGCGGGGACTGCTTTCACAATGCTTCCGCAAAACTTATTATATTACCTATATTTCATAAATGCAACTGCTTAAAATATTATTTTTATTGGGCTAAAACTGCCCTTAATTGTAATAGTGAAGCTAGTGATATACAAAAAATGTTATTGTCACATTAAATTCTTCAATATATTATTTATGAATATATTAAGTATATAAATCTTAAACAGAAATTATAATTAACAAAAACATCAACTGTAAGACTGTTAAAATTTTCATATCTGAGTGCACAGCAGTGTGTCATGCCAAGTTCAAGCAGCATGGTGTGTATCTTATATGATTTTAGATATTGACACATATTTTAAGTCTCTAAAATCAAAAAAGACTATATACGAAGTATTTAAAAATCTTCAATATATTTTTTTGATAAGTTAAAATGTATAAATCTATTCAAATTAGTTGATTATGTTTAAGGTAGGTACATTTTTTTTGGTAAACTGTACTCAATACTTGATTAATCAAATATTTTATTTAGTTATACAAATTACAACAATTATCAAGTAATAATATTAATTAGAATTCAAACTATAGTTGTTCAGCATTTTAGTTAACTGCTAATATAAGGCGAAAATTGTTGTTGCATATCAAAAAAAGGTATTAATATTTAATATAACAAGGGTCTTACTCACAGTATACAATGTGTGAGGTTAAACATTTGAAATGTGTAGTATGTAAACATGATCCAGATTCTAATATTGAATATTCTCTAAGTTGGAAAACACATTGTATTGTTTATTTTTCATTAGTCATTACTTCTTTAATTATTATTTAAGTTGATTGATTTACATAATTATTGCTTAGGTTTGAACATTCTTTGAATTTATACTATTTGTAGTAAGTTAAAATTTGATATTTAGCTTCATTTGTTAATTTGATTCAGGTAGAAAAATACATTTTCATTATTGCGATTTTATAAATTTTTGGATTTTTGATCATTTGTCAATTTACAGTCTACTATATTAACAATCTATCCAAATATAAAAATAAATTTTTAACATATTTACTACTTGAAAATCATCTCGACAATCCCAACAGCCGCATTTAACAGATAAAATACTTTAGGTCCAAACTGTACCACAACTACACATTACGGGGCTGGTGTTCAAACCCTAATTTGGAACCTAAATATTTTTTTGAAAAAAGTGTTAATCTATTGTAAATGAGGGTTGATAGTCGCTGTTTATATTATGGAAAGTAATCTAGTAAATCGTTGTATTTAACTATTTTATCATTTTTTATAGACTGCATTCTAATATTTTTTCATATTATTATAAAGTGAAGTCTGATGCATAACCATGGCATGGATTTAACTTTTTTATAAGTTTACAAAGCCCCTGTAGTTTCATTTTAACAGATTTTTTTCTTCTATACTTTTCCTGTATAACAATTTATAACCTTAAATAGTATTAGCCCAATTGATATGTGATAAATTCATCAATAATATAATAGATAGGTACCTAATTTATAACCATTAACATAGTTGACATTGGTTATTTGTAGACCTTTGATCTGTTGATCTTTTCAGTGTGTAATCAAACATCATTGCTAATCAGTAATCATCTATAATTGAAATCATTTATATTTTTCATAATTTCAATTGAAAATGTTCACTAATCGTCACTATTACATTTTAATAATATGATCAAACTTAATTATTAATTTCGTTATTTTACATAAATAGAAATTTCTACAGCCACAATTGTAAAATAAATATAAAATTCCAATTGGGAAGCCTATATTTGTTTGGAGTCGATGTGCACACCTTGCACTTTCTGTAGTTAAGGTTTTTGACACTTAAGTACTTAATACTATGATATCTTTTTATAGTTATTTAAAGTTTAACAATATGTTTTTGTGTAATATTTAGGTATTTTCTACAACATCAATGTAATTGTTAAACAATATTTATAATATTATGTACACACGGAAATTTAATAAACCATATAACAGTGAGTTTTGCTTGGTTGGTGCAGATAATAATGTCAGAAATAATGGTTTTATTTTAACCATTTGATTCCACAAAACATTTTTTCTGTACATAGTTCTGTATTTTCAAGTAAGCTTCAAATAAAACTTAAACAATATAAAAAAATAAATTTAAAGTAAGGAAAAAAAACTATAACTTTTTTTGATTTGATTTGAGTGACTTGTAATTGGATTTTCATAAGAACCATCCATTTAACTTTCTATTTTCGGGAAAGAGGCAAATTTTTTTTAACCATTTACATCAATTTTTACGATTTTTGAAATTTTGTTTAATATTCAAACTATAGAAATAGTAAATCTTTTTCTTTTTTATACATACATTTTTGGACAGGAACTACAATAATTATACGTTTTAAACGACAGTATGCATATCGATACTCTGACAAATTTATAAATTCTATTTAATTGTATTCGTAATACCTATAACAGCTGGTCATAACATAATGAGTTTGAAAAACCGTAAAATCAATAAAAATGTTTGTAAAAGTGATTCAATTATCCCGTACATGGTGATTCTAATAAAAGATCCATTTAATATTTTCAACAAACAAACCTAACCTTGGTTTAGATTTATCTTTTCCAATAAACATTTGATTCTATAAACCGGTGCTCATATTAAGCAGAACTCATTGTATATGATATCATTGATTATAAAAACATTTGTATTGAATACTTTTATAATCAATGATATGTTTAAACTTAATATTTTATATTGATGATTTTAATTCCAAATTCTATTAATAATTGGTATTAAACGTCATAGTCCAAGCATACAATAATTATTGTTATATATGAACTATATATTAATTCATTGGAAAATGAGATAGCTTAGCTATTAATAACCATACTATCAAATAGTGATAAAAAAGATGAACATAATAGGTTTGATCTTAAAAAAAAGTATTAGCCATTGAAATAATGTTTTGTATCAAAAAGTACAAGTTGTATTTTAATAAATTTTTATTTTTATTTAGGAATGAATTAGAACGTCAATTCCTTGAGATGCTACAATTTAACATTAATGTTCCATCCAGTGTTTATGCCAAATATTATTTTGATCTACGCTCATTGGCTGAAGACAATGAATTGACATTCCCGGCAGAACCATTAAGTAAAGAACGAGCTAAAAAACTAGAAGCAATGTCTAGAGTATTTGAAGATAAGATAACAGCTGAATTTCTGAAAAATGGTATAAAAAAATGGTCTAGTCTAGATAATGTGAGCAGTAATACAGTTGCTCGTAAAAGTGTTGCTATATTATCTTAAAAAGAAACTAAAATGTTTTTACATTTATAAAGAGAATGTAACGTCACCAATATTGTGATTATTTGTAGGATTAATGTTTTAAGTTACTATAGTTATAACTTATAAGACTTACTTTCTCCATATATTTTAAATCTAGTGTTTTTATTAATTTTTTTTCTTTTTTGATTATATAATATATATATATATTATTTGTTAGTATACAACTACGAATAAGAATTATTTTTAGATTTCTTTAGTATTTCTTCAATACTAAATTATTTTAAATAATCAAAATTACCAAACAATATTAAATTTAGTCAAAAACGTACCATATTAGGATAAAAGTAATTAAGCAATAAAAACGAATAGCATTTCATTGCTTAATTGCATGCCATAACATAAGTTTAAGTTAATCATTTCAAGTGTTCATTAAACATTGCAATCAATTCTTTTGGATTGTCTTTCATTTCATTAATTTCATTAGCTTTTAAAATTATTAATAAACACTGGAATATTCTACTTTGAGAAAATGCTTTATTACATCATATGTATTGTTAAGTTAATTTACATATTGTATTTCATTTTATTTATCAATATAATTTATTTCATTTGTAGAAATAAGATTATAATTTCAATTTATATAATAAATGCATCAGGTAACTCATGTGTAGTCAAAACATATACTTGTTGCGTGTAAATGACTTAATGTATTTTTCTACTTTTACATTTTTTCAATTAAAATTGGACTTCAGGCAGAATTTGCATATTTTGTTGATATATATATTTACCAAGCTCACTTTTATATGATGGTAATAACTACATATTATATTTAAATTTATTATTATTATCTTTTCAGAGATATTTTTTTAAGAATATTATTGTGTTTAAAATAATTATAAATTAATGACTATCAACAAATGATACAATTACTATTATTTTAAATAATTTCTTTCAACATTGTTTGTACCAAATGCAATTATTACAATATTTTAAATTTATTTCACATTCCTTTTTAATATTTATAATTATTTTTTTAACCCTTGATATTTTATCGTCTTATTCATTGTTAGTTACAATATTATGAAACATACCTATAATCATAATATTTATTATTTTATTTTATTCTGTAGAAATTAAATTAAGTTGTGTTTCATTTATATTGCAATGGTTAATAAAAATAACAACTGTAATTTTAAAATTTGAGTTTATATTTAGTTTTTTTAGTTTGTCAATTTTTAATGAGTACATTGTATAAGTTGGTATGTCAAAAACATTGGTAACACCTTTGTAATGATACATTTCTACATTAGAAATAACGTAGCATAATAATGTTCAATAATTTAATATTTCTACAGTAGAATGATCAATTAACAACACAGATATAGGGAAATGGCAATTTTGAGTAAAAAATGTTCTTTATTACATTTTACAACTAATCGACTTAAATAATTGTGTATCATTTAATTGATTAAATAGTTTGTTATAAATGGCTAAACCCTATCCCGTTAGGTTATAGGTTCACCAGTTCATAAAATGTAAAATTGTTAAATTACGTAAAACATATAGTGTTAATAATACCTCCATAATACTAAGTGAAATTTGTATAAAATACAATTTTAAGGCTAAACTTAAATTATAGATGTAAACTGAAAACAAATTATAAATATTTATATTGTATGGTAATAATGACATATTAATAAAAACTAAAAGTAAATGGTATAAATATAAATGAACCACCTATTTGAGAAACGACCTAAGTCCATGAATGGTAATTCTGAGAAAACAAGAAAAAACTGCTTTTAAGACAGTGGCTTTCCAGTACATATTTAAACAGCGCTACCAATGATACGTGGTTATTTCTATTTCATACTGATTATTTACAGTGGTAAAATTAAATATTTTTTTTGCAAATGTTCTGTCTATCATTTAATATTATACATTCCACTCAATAACTCAATTTGTGATATTTTGTGACTTATGTAGTATCTCAAATATGTTTTTCAAATTGATTTAACCCAAAATTTATTTGTTAACTAATCAAAAAAAAGTAGTTGAGAAAATATTTTTTTTCCTTAATGACTAATGAGTACTTATTAAATACCGCACACTTTTAAAAAATAGCTGATACCAAAACTGTTCACAAAATAAAGTGCTTGCTAACACAATCATAAGATGACATTTATTGTAATGGCACATGGTAATAATGAAATTTTAAAAAGTAATCTATAAATGTGTTTCGCTAAGTTAGCAGACAGCTTCGCAGGACAGTAACAACCGCTATCAAACTAAGTAATTATAGTTGATATAACTTTTTTTTCCCACCGGTTTGGATGAATACATTTCTTGATGTTGTTAGTAAGGCTTAGAATTTGATGCATTTACTTCATTTTTTTTTCTTGTACAATGTGAAATACAAATATTTTATTCACTTAATGTTAACTACATCCCATATCTAATTCCAATCAATAGAGACATAGACCATAGTAAAATAAATTAGACAGCCATACTCGTTGTCTTAAATTGTTTGGTGCCTTAAAAGAACATGTTCTATGTTTGAATTGTATGGTTATTTTTTGTAATGTTTATAATTTTGTAGTGAACATTGGTTATATAACTACAATAACATTTATGGATGCATTAACTGCTCATTTTTATTTATTTTGATCAACATTGAACAGTTATAAAAATTAAAATTTTTTTATTTATTGAAATTGAATTGAAATCAATTTATATTTGTTACAATAAAAAACAACTTACAGTGAGAAAATCCATAACTAAATATGACATAAATAATGTTGACTTTAACTATATACATTGAATAGTTTATGATAAACCTTTGTTTTATTTATGTTTGACAATGTATACTTTGTAGAAAGATAATCTTAATGTATTATACTAAAAATGATCTTTTTTTGTATGTCGTCTGTATTTAATATTTTACATCTCCCCATAGTCAACTTTTGCTTCTGCGGTACCGATTGTAGTTACCTATGTAAATTGCAAGTGTAACATTACTAACATTATATCTAAATGTTTGACTAAAGTAATATATCTTAATTATATTAGAATCTAATAATTATATAGAATCTTATAGATTATTATTATTATCTTATATATTTCATATTTATAAGAAATATGTCATCATTTTTTATAGAAACAACTAATGTATTCTAAACAGTGGCAGATCCAGGATTTAATTTTTGGGGGGTCATAATCCAAAACGCAAATTTTAAATGTTAAATTCTTATTTTTTTTATTTATTAAAGATTATATTTAAATTATAAAAATATTTTAAGAAATTTATACAGGTCCAGCGGAAGGCACTGGCAACAGGCCTATGCCTGGGGCGGCGTTATGTAAGAGGTAGCATTTCTTTGGTGGTAGGCAGGGCCGTATTTTGGATAATATGTTGCTACTTAGCCTAACCCAAAAACCGAAAACTGTTTTTAAACCACTGATGAGAAAAAAGGAAATTATTTAATTATTATATTTTTATTATTTAAAAATAATAACTGAGAAGTGATAAGTATCCGACAATTAACTTGATTTAGTTTTGGATGGGACGATTTATGTACTAACTATTTACTATATAACGAGTATATTCATAATAATAAACTTTATTTGAATTATAATAATTAAATGAAATCTAGTTAATCCCAACTTTTTTAAGCAATGTTAATTAATTTATTACAAAGATTATTATTTTTAATGTTAATAAGATGTTTGTATTGTTGTATACATTAATGTACTTTAATCTATACCAAAAATTAAAACGGGTCTATTAGCCTGAAAAAGTGGTACACTTGATATTCCATTAATTAGTATTGTATTAATTATTAAACTCCTTAATACAATAAAAATAAAAATAATAAGCAATTTAAATATAATAGCATTTGTAAACAACAACTTTTCTTTACTGGAATACAATTTTTTCTTAGAATTTCAAAAAAAAGAAAAATTGATGTGTTTGGGAGAATTTCTTATGTAATGTATTTGAGCGAAACAATATAAACGATAAAATTGTAAAAATTAAAATAAACACTATCGAATTAATATAACATAACTTATGCCAATGGTGGGGGGCCCTTCGCCCCCCTTAAATCTGCCCCTGATTCTAAAAGGGAATAAAAATAAGTATACAATAAAAGTTAAAAGCATACCTACTAAAAAATTAAAACTTATTTTGATGGAGAGTAACTCTTACTTAGTTAAATGGTATGGAAGAAATCGATATAAAAAGCTGTTTAAAAGAAAGGTGCTAAAATATATTTGATAGAATTAATGAAGAAGAAAATTGAGCAAGCTCATAAAATTATTAAGATAAAGACTTTTTAAAAATGATTTTTTAGATAAATAAATTTGTTTGAATAACAAAATTAGGGTTGAACAAATTTGTTTTAAATGAATTGAAATTGATTTTTAAAAATATTATTGCTTAATTTGGATGAGTTGAACATAAATTCTTATTTTTTATTGTAGCTTGTAGGTATATAAGACAATGGAAACCATTTTACTAGCCCTGTTAACCTGTTGTTGTACAATATGTATTCAATAGTTATTACATACAATACCAGACTATGAGTAAATTGTCTAAGTATTTAGGTACTTGCACAGATGTAGCTACAAAAATTATTATTAATTGTAGTACTTACAAATTAGGAACATAACAAAAACATTTAAATTACAGTGAGACTTCGATAAGTTGAAAACCTCGGTAGGTGGAAATAAATTCCGTTCCCTTCCTTAGTCTAACCTAACCCTAGTAAGTTGAAAACCTCGACAAGTCGAAACAATTTTATTTCCTTTGGATTTCGACTTATCGAGGTTCCACTGTAAATGTATTATTTATTAATTATTAACAATGGGTAAATAACATCATGAGAAAAACCATATCATTTATAGTATACTAATAGTTAATATTTTATTACTATTCATGCGTAGTTTTTTTTTTTAATATTTTCAAATATTATAAACACAATAAACTAAATTTTTTGGTAGGTACATTTTTATTATTAAAAAAAAAAAATATGAAAATTATTATTTTTTTTTTTTTGCTGCAAGATTGGTTCAAAACGCACACTTTTTTTACGGCATAAAGCCATATATGATACAACTATAAAATAAATAATTTTAAAAAAGTCTGCATACTGTCATGAGACAATATAAGTCCACGGGTAATGCCACTAATACTTAAATCGAATCGAAAATGATAAAATGGTAGTAGGAGTATTAGGAAATAAAAATCGACATGAGTAATCTTATCGTTATTCGATGTAAACAAAAACAATGCAGATAACTAAACAAATATGGGGAATTTATAAAATAGATACCTAGTTAAATATTGTATTATGTATATGTTACCGGAAATGTTGACAATTTAGGAAATGATGACAATTCCTAGTAAATGTTGACAATTCCTAAAAGCGGAAGGCAATGTTATCATTGCCTAGGAATTGTCATCATTTCCGTAGTTTATTAGGCAATGTTATCACTAGGCCCAGGAATTTGATGTTCTAAAAAAATATCTAAAAAAAATGCATAAAATGACATTTATTTATTATTTTTTTTTTAAATGATATTAAAAATGTATATTTTATTGTAAAAATTGATTAATATTGTTTCGATAAAAAATTATTATTATTAATTAATTAAATAAAACTATATATTACCTATATACCTACTCCAATTATTTTTTTTTTATATTAGATTAGGTTAGGTTTTTATAGTTAAAAATGTACGTTAAAAATTAATAGAAATGACAACAAAGATAAAATAAGCTTATAAAATTATTTTATATATCTGTGCGGAGACATGAAATTATATCAAACACGGGTTTATGTCGATTCTGATAGCCGTTAATAATCAACAAGCTTTCTTACACATAAGCATTGACTAACTCGTAATGGCACCCACTAAGTTTGGTGTCAACTGTCAATATTTTCCGAGATCTAAAAATATCAGGTGGGGAAATGACTGATATCGATAAAATGGTTGATTGAAAAATGTCATGGATATCGCATATCGCAGTATTTATCTGTTTAATATATAACCTGTACATTCAACACGATCCGTTTAGTAGTAATTTATTAGTAGTGCAGTACGTATTTACTTTGTTATTAATTTAAAAATGGATTTAAATAAAATGCAAAATGAATTTAATAAAGCAATTTCATTAATAATTGATGCTAAACGTGATGACAACAAATCGTGGGTCGAGGGAGTCGAAGAAAATGTACCGTGTACTAGTAACTTGGAACAAGTGACTAGTGACATAGAACTTGGTAAAAAAAAAATGTAATATAGTTTAATATATTTAAGTTAATAATGTATTTATTTAGTTGATCAACGAAAACAAAATATACTTGATGCACGTCAATCATCTGCTCACAATTTAGAAAAACAGGCACTAAAAATGGTTAAAACATCCAATAGAAAATATGATGAACTTAGTGTTGGAACTACAGTACGTCTGAGTATTCCAGATGTAGATCGTGCTCGTGGATCACCAAGAAATGTATTAGCGGTTGTAACAGAAGTTAAGGACGATTTATACAAGCTATGTAAGAAGTTCACTAGTATTTTTATAACGTCTTAATCATCTTCGTATTCAAACTCGTTATAAAAATTAATTATTTTATTTTTTCTAATTGTAGGCACTGAAAGTGGATTTTTAAAACATATGTACACGAGATCAGAAATAAATCCTTGCAAAGCAAATTTATTGGATCTAAGTACTGTTTTAAAATCGGCAGGTCAATCAGAAAAACCGTTATCACTTCGGGAGGCAGCTACTGTAAATAGTATTTCAGGGGCACAAGGATATACCCGATGTCAATGTAAGACAAAATGCAAGACGAACAGGTGTGCTTGCAGATCGGCATCTAGAATTTGTAATTCTAAATGTCATGGAAGTTTGCCATGTGAAAATAAAAATGAGTAACTACGTTGCAAATCATAAAACAATGTGAAAAAGCTTAAATTACATAAATTAAAATGTTAAAAAAATACTTGTTTATTTATTGATTATTTATTAAGGTGATAGTAGATTAATTAATAATTATGTTTAATAAAAGAAATATTTAAATAAATAAGTCAGATTAAATTTAAAAAATGTGGCATCTTTGCCTACTATCGTTAGGAAATGATAACATATACTAGGCGATGATATCATTTCCTTCCGCTTTTAGGAATTGTCAACATTTACTAGGAATTGTCATCATTTCCTAAATGTCAACATTTCCGGTAACATATACAATATATATTATATATCTGTATGACAGTATATACACATTGTTTAATCGGTTTTAGTTTATTCGAGTATTAAGGACCAAAGTATTTCAAATAATGCAATTAATACCTACTTTTATGCCAACATTGTATAATAGGTAAAATAAAACAGAAGAACTTTGACAGTGTGTAATATTGCTGGTTTTCTGACATCAGTGTATTATTTATAAGTAAGAAAAAATCAAAAAAAGTTACACAACTTATTATTTTTGTTAGAATATGTTGTTCTTATGTTTTTTCAAACTTGATAACTTTTTTCATAAAATTGAAAATATGTTATCGAAATAGTTCTATGGTAAATATTTAATTTCTGTTAAAAAAATTGTACTTTTTAGTTTTGTCTCTATATAGTACTGATTTAGTACCTCTAAATTGGCTTAAATTAAATACCATAGATAATCGGCAGGTAGTATTTGGTTAAATTCATCGTTTAAAAATTTAATTTTTCTTAAAATGTATTTAAATTGCCTATATCAAACTCCTTAAGTGAATTAAATAAATATGGCATATATACTTATAGGGCCAGTGCTCAGAGCCTCAGACATAGGTATCAGTCTAGTTATTTATACTAGTGTTATAAACCAAACATTTTGTTTTCCGTGCCATGTTTAACACTATTAAACTGAGTTTAAAGTTTAAGTCTAATATACTCTTAGGTGGTTTAAAGTTTAAAGTTTCAACGACGTTACTTTATAACCTGTTTATTTTATGAATTTTATCCTAAAAGTCGTGCATTGTTTTAAACAATTTTGTTTTATACTCATATATTGTATTAAAATCAATTATGATGGATCAATAAATCGATGATGAAGATTTCTATTACCTCACTTACATTTAGTCTTGCACTTACATGTATACCAAGCCAACAAGGGTATTTAAGTATTTCTGATTTCGGCAGTGCCTCGACTATTTTGAAAGTCTTCGTGTTTTTTTAATTTATCGATAGGTTAGATATCCGATATGTGTAAGTCAAACTTAGGTTAATGACATAGACGTGTTATATTTGATTAATTAAATTTCTTAGTTTACACTGCGTAATATTTTAAATTAATTACATCAAATGGATAGATATTTGTGAAATATAAATATTTAGGTGGCCTATTTTTATTATGAGGCTTATTTTTACAAAATATATGTCATTCAATTATTTGACGACGAAGAGCATAATGGAAAAAATACGAGTCTTAAATTATCATAATTATCTACCTTATATTTTTTTGTATTCCTGCAGGAATATAATATATTGGACTATTATACGTAGTGCAGATATATTTTAACATCATGGTAGATGCTATATGATATTAATACATAATAATTTATCGTACTGCAATAGTACTAAATATTAGATTGTGCAGTATATAGGTATATAATAGTTATCCGTTATTGGTCACGTTCTTATCAATTTTATGGGCTTAATGCGACCGGCATTCCGGAAAAGTTCATAATTAAATTATTTTTATTTTTGGTTGATACCGGTGCACGTTCTCGGACACGAGAATCTATCAAAACCATCGATCATTGGCCCCGATTGGGTATTATAAAACAGTTGAACAATTATTATTCGATATAAAATTAAATTAAATTAATTTTACTAATTTTAAGGAAAAAAAAACGTAAAAGTGGAAAAATGTTCACATCGAAACAGGACATGGTTGAATTGACAATTATGTACCTATGTGGATATGTCATGATGGTTCATAATACAAAATTTCGAGACTAGCAATAGTGAAGTGTGAAACAAAACATAGTACCTATACGTGTAAAAAAGCTTTTGTTTTTTTGTGTAATAGCCGTTGTCATAACGAATACAGGCAATACAGCCCATTTGCGCCCCGAGGGTTGCCCTTGCCCATTTGTGCCCCTAGGGATGTGGACAGATTCACCAGAAAGATAACCTAGGATACCTACTATACCTACCGATTTATAGTCTGTATGAGCCAATTTCATATACAACGTTGGTTGTCTAACCTAAGTCCTAACCATGGTTTATTTAATAAACTATCAACATCGTAATGATAATTTCATTCTATAATAGTTTAATTGTAGCATAGAATGTATACAATGTATAAATTGGTTTTGCAATACCTAAGCGGAAAGTTAAAAAGAAAAATGTATACTATATAAAAAAAAATAGATTAGTGGATTGTAGTAGGTACCTACAGTTAATATATGACAATGACTTACATAAAAACAGGATTTTTTTAACTAACAACACTTAACTAATTCACACTGAATACTCCTGCATTGGCTGCATTATTACTAGCTGCCGTCAATCTCACAAAAATAAAATGGTATATAAAAACTACAAAAATCTTAAATTAAAAAAAAAATGTCCGCAATTATGTAAGTACGTGCAATTATAAAATTATTATAAAAATAAATATTGTTGATTATTTGTACACGTTTATCATAATAATAAAATATATATATAACAAATGTTTCATTAAAAATCAATCCTTCTAAATGTATAGGTACCTAGTACCTACCCAATTTTTTAAATATTTTACTCTGTTTAACATTTTTTTATCTCGTAAGTCATATTTGGTCCGTTGTACATGCAAATTCTATACGTATTATTGCTTCTCTTCATTTGGTCTAGGTTTCACTGTACTCTATTCACTTCCTTGATTTTTAAATAAGTTTCCACTTGAATTATTTTTATGATATTTGATAATATCGGTAAGGGTATAAAGTAAACTTAAAAAAGTTAAAAGTGATAAATAGTAGGTATGTACAATAATTATAGTAGAGCGCAATCGCGATGAAAAGTAATAAGTCAATCAATCATATTGTACAGTATTCAGCATACAGTTTGACACGGTTTTAACTTTTAAAGCATTTTATTAAAAATATTTTGGGCACAAATGGGTTATGATTTTGGGTGCAAATGGGCTGTAAAATAGCTGTAATGGGCGCAAGTGGGGTGCTCCGGTCACAGCATCATATACTAATTGTAATAATAAATACTAAACAAAGAACACTAATTATGATAATAAATTAATACAATTATAAATATAATTAATAATTTATTTAATTTAAACTTCATAGTCTATACACTCATATTTGTTCATTAGTGCACTTCGTAGTTACCTATGTAAAAAAGAGATTGTATAATAAGATAAGGTTATTGTTATTTAGATTTATTGAAAAGTTAGTATGATTTAATTAATTTAAAATACTGTACAAAAAGTGTAAAAATGAGCTTTCTTCTCTTGAAATGGATCAAATATAATATATGTATATTATGTTCAAATCATGAACCGGAATTTAACTTAGCTATACACTTATACCTATACCGAGTTACACAGTTGTACACATATTATGTCATAGTCCGTGAAATGAAATTCCATTTCATAAAAAATATGATAACACTAAGTGGATGCGACATATATTATTTTATCGTATATTTATATACATTCCTCGACTCGAAGGTAGTATAGTGGTACCTATAGGTAATATAGTATTCCAGACTGTCTGTGGGGAAGACGGAAGCCATTATCTCTAATCGAGCGACTACAAAGCGTAAAATAATGATAATGTTTGTTGAGAACAAGGTTACACGAAAATAAAATGTTTCTTTAGAAATGAAATTGTGGTATAATTGTATAGTAATATATTTATGTTTATCTAAAAGATTATAATCGATAGTTTTTACAATAAAAAAATGAAGGAAAGTCGTATATTTACATATTATATGGGTATAAGCCATTGTTTTTTTTTATCTATTTTTATCAAAATTTGAATTTTGAATGTTTGTAAAAAAGAATGTGATTACCAATAATGTATTTAAAATATTTTTTATTTTCTAAAAGAATCATTTATGAAGAACCTTGTATAAATTCAAACGTTCTAAAGTTTTTAGTGTTTTTACTGATGAACAAACATTTAATCGTACGTAAATCAGAAAAAAACTTCAAAAATCTATAAATTGTACAAAAAGAGCCAAAATATTTTGAAAATGTCTGCTCTCGAGGTCATTTATTTGCATATCCTGAATTACAACAAATACCTAGACAAGTTTTTGTTGCTTTTTTCTAGATGTTTAACGTTTAAGCCGTTTAAGGGCATTTTTAAGCTTTTTAGAGCATTATTAATTTTAAGGTAAAATTTTAACCTATTTCTAGTAATATTACGAAAAAAAAATTGTATACGCCAATTAGCCAATGAACTACCTATAAAATATAGATAGCTATATGACTATATATGTTTTCTTATCTTCCAAACACATTGTTTCGGTGGTGCACATTTTTCGAAATTTTTAAGGCATTCAAATCAGAGCCCTACATATCACTATAAAATTAATTTAATTTATAAAATTCATCGCTTCGCTCAGAAGATAATACACACAATACAGTAGTAATACTTATCAGTTATCACAATACACTTTTCACAATATTGGGCTCGGTTTATGAGGCTAAAATATCGTGAAGCACGTCATACAATGTGGGTTGTTGATTACTTGATTATAATTATTACTTTAAGTAGGGCGGTAGGTAAGAGAATAATCTCAGTGACGCAACTAGGGGAGTGAACGGTGAACAACATTCAATTTATTACATTCAAGTCTAGTGTATATAAGGATACAAAATATTTGTTTCAGAAACATGTTTCATTTTTCTTTAGATATAATTTATCAGTATAGTCTTTTTTTCTTATCTTGCATTCCCCTCGTATCATCATATTGACAAAAATCATGTATAGGTATTGTACTATTGCAGTATATTATAATTATGTCCTATGACTCATTTAAAAATATGAGAACAGATTTTCCGAGTTGCGTCCGAAAACTGTACAATTTTGTGAACAAATTTTATTTCATAAAAAGTTTCTTGTCCAAGTCAATAAGATTCTATATTTACTATGAAGACTAGGCAAATAATTTAACAATTAAATTTATTTAAGCATTCAAACGAAAAATTAACTAAACCAACTAATTTAAAACATTTTTTTATGAATTTTTTATATTATTATTATTATAAGATTTAATGAAATAAAATTCTATAATTTCTATTTCCTATGAAGTACTTCATATTTGTTTCATAAGCATTCGACAATATTATTTGTTATATTAATTTGTCATTGAATAAATAAATTAAGTGTCATTCTTGTTAATTATCTCTGAGCGACAGACACAAAATACACAATTATACCTACTTATAGTTATTATTACTTATGAGTAATAATATATCATCTAAATAGTTGGTTTTATATTGATATTTTTTAAACTTTTATCTAATCGTTGGTACAATTGTAGCTACATATCTACTATTTATTAATTTTATCTAGTTTAAATATTACTGACAAATTATTTGATACCAATGTTTTTCGGTTGGACCTACAACGATGTTTAAAGTACTACCTATAACTAAAACCGCGTAAAATCGATGCTTGACCAAACATTATAATATCTGTGGGATTGTGTTATATTTTTTGTAGTTCAGACAGTAGAAACCTATCAAAAATCAAAGTTATTTAAATATTAAACACGAAAAAAACATACTTTTGTTTAATACCGTTACATGTTAAGAGCGTGACGGTGCCATTTTAAATATATAGTACAAAAACATGCCCAACAGGAAAAACTCCTGTAGTATAGTCGGATTTCGTTATTTTTTTTTTATTCAAAAGAAGATTTTTCAGCGCGGTTAAACATATTTTTCTACCACTATTAAAAGTAAAATGAAAATTTACAAAATTCGACATAGGTGTAAATGAGACGTGAGGGTTTTTCTTGTGAAGTCATTATTATTGATATAATACACAGTATCAACCCTCCCCAAATAGGTATAGGACAGTAGGTTAGTGGAAAAGGATTTTAATTAAGGTAACAATTAGAATATAAAATATCATATTAAAATGTTATAGAATTATGGAAAATTGGAAAAATCGTGCGTTATCGACATTATTAATAATATAATAATTCTACCTATTTACTTTAATTATAGACAAAGACAATAAGTACTAATAACTATGAGTAGGTACTAGATATATGCTGATGTATTGAATAGTATGTGTTAATATTATTTTTTTTTTTAGAAAAGAAGGGATTTTATTAATCAATTTTGACTTGTACAGTTGTACCTGACCTAACCTATATAGCTAACCTTAAATTCATAATAAAATATTCTACTTAATAAATCAAATAAATGTAATTCTAATACTCCAATACTATATAGCCATATAGGATTATAATGATTAAACAAAAAAAATATGTATACAAGAGCACAATTATATATACTACAGGTGGGTAAACTACTTACTATAGTAAGTATGTACTTACAGTATTGTGTAATGTTGAACGCGGATAATCCCTATATTAACAATAATTTATACAATATAACAATAGTGATACGATCAACGGCACTCGTTACTATCAATCATAATTCATAGTCGTGTTGATTAAGGATTCTTTCTTCGTCTTCGTCTGCCGCAGAAAACGGTCGCAAGGCGTTGATTTTCCTACGAGCCCGATTTTCCTTCCTCTTGTTGACTATTGAGAAATAAATCAATTCTTCCGCGCGAGTAGGATCTGCGATCTCGGTGGTCATGCCGATATGGTCTTGATAGGGATTGGACAGCTGATATCCACTCAACGGCTGGACCGTGAAACTAAAGGCGTCCCATTTGTGGCCCCAACCATGATACGTGTAATCCAAAAGGCTGTACTCAGAAAAATATCAAAAACAATTTACTTAAATATAAACCAAAATAGAATCAACCAACCCCATTATATGAATGTGTATTATAATTTATAAGTACTTGTCACGCGCAACTGCGTGTGCTCCTGGCCAAAGATTGGACCGGATGGTCGCGTAAGTATTCGTGTGGTCAAACCGATTGGTCAATTCGAATTTCCATGGTGGCATTTCACCCACATAAGCGTCGTTTGACAAATTTCCAAATATGTCCAGATGGTCACCGTCTCCTCTGCCGATTTCTAAGTTAATCCTAATCTTACAACCATATTCAATGTTCTCCGAGTTCTGAGCAATGTTATTTTATTAAATTGTTATACATATTGTTATTGGATTTTACGTTCTATATCTAAATATTCATACAGGTACTATAAAATAAGGGCGTAACTATGCCTGTCCTAACTACACACCTATTTATACTATATATTTATATACCAATTAATAGCTTTATAAATTTGACAAACTATCGATTATACATTTATATCGATAAATATTACTTGTTGCGAGTCTTCTCTGGACTCTATTATATTGGTCCACGCCTTGGTCACTCCTTTTTCTGATATCAAGGGAGTGTGATGCACCCAGTTGCTGGGTTCCAATAAATCGTATACCGACAGAAGATTGTAATCCGCGTTCACCACATACTCATGGATAACTAGAAACGTAATTTAAGTGCCTATTGTTTAAAGAAGCTGGGTACAATTTAAGTCTTATATCACAAATAATGTTCTAAGTGTTCTAACAGATAAACAGCAAAACCTACAAATTATAGGATACATATAATGTAGGTACGTAATACATTAATACAAATATAAACCTAACATATAGTAACGTCTGCGTTGTAATGTGAATATTGGTGACCTTTATGACTATATAGTATATAGGCAACAACGAAACGTCGACAAAACATAATATCTAATTATTATGATACAATCGAGAAATTCTAACTATAGTCTATGAGTAGGTACAAAAATTGTGAAATAGATAAATTGTTTAGTATTCACGATTGTTGAGGTATATAGACTATATAGTATTTAAAATAAACTTAATAATACTGATACGGTTAAGGTCAAAGTACACATGAAAACGATGAGCACGAGTTAATGCAGTAAGACGGACGTCGATATTTTTATTCTCCGTTACAACTTACAGTGCTTTATTTGCTCTCATACAGTCGTTACTAACTTGGTGGGCTTCAGGCGCAGGACAACTTCCATATTCACTACATAGTTACTGTTATAAAACTCTACAGACATTATTAAATTAGGCACCTATCATAATAAATGAGTATTAATTATTGTTCAGTAAGCACCTAAATATAAACTTTTATGATTTAGTTTAATCACTATTTTGTGGTTTAAAAAAATGGTTCTACTAGAAAAATTTTCTAAATGTATATGATGATATAATTGGTAAATAAAACGTTATATGTACATGATAATTATGATTAGATTAAATTACAGTGTATATGTATTGAACTTTGGGCATATAATAATGAAAAGTGACGTGAATGATTTAAATTAAGTATTGAGCATCTTAAACGAAAGTGTAAAGGGTGGGAATTAAACGAATAATAGTTTTAATAAAACTAATATAGCTGTACTAAAACGAATACGAAAATATTATGTTGAATAAAAAAGAAAAATTGGAAAAAGCGTATTGTAATTATAGTAGTGTTTATTATAGGCACCTCAACCCACCTCATCATAATGACATAATGGATAGACCTACTTATATCATTATAATAAATGCTTTATGTACTATCAATCATAAATAATGGTAAAAATAATAATACATTATCCATTAACTATTTATACTTTAACAATAAAATTGACAAGATAAGTAATTAAAAATACAGGAAAGTAGGAAACTAGATTGCTGTATAGTACCTAGTTGTTAACTATATAGGCGTCAAGTGTTCCTGTCATTGAGTAAGTCGCTGTTAAGTAATATTTAATTATTACAATAGTATACATTGTTATCAATACATCATAATTTATATTAATGTTATTAATTATTTATTTTGAGTTAATATTGACATTCGACTTAGGTATACTATAGAATGGTGTCAGCGTGAATAGATTCGCGGTATAAATAGGCAATATCACAAAATTAATTTAAATGTTTTGAAAATGACATTGTGTATTTGAGTATATAAAATATAATAATAAACTAAAACTTTCGAGTCATCACAAAAAATTATTTTTGAATTACAACAAAAAAACAAAAATTGTTATTATTTGTTTTAATTTATAATTTTGTTAAAATTAAAACTTCAAATGTTTACAAAAAAATCAATGATTAGCCCAAAAATAATCAAAATATATTTGAAATAATACCATTCATTGAAAATATTAATATAAACATCAGGTGAGAATGTGAAGTATTTTTTTAATTTTAATTTGATCATATTTAGAACTTCCTGCAGTAAAAACTGTTGCAGTTCGACTATTAAAATATTTAATTTACAGTTTACACAATTCAAATATAAACACTATAGGTAATACTCAAAGTAAATTAAGCATTATGGTGTAATAATAAAAATAATAATAAATACAAATGTGTTTAGTATTTAAGGTTAGGTATTTTTTTTTTGAATTACGACGAAATAAGAAAATCGATTTTGTCTGGTTTTGTGTAAAAATTCGTACTTTGCATTAGTTTATTTTTGGTTTTTTGGTTGTTTTGAGAGATACTGGGAATTATTTATTTTAATTTAACTTCAAAGTACCAACTAGTTACTAGTACCAATTTGCTACCAGAAAATATAGTGAGATTGTAAATCGAACCACTTTTTCTACCATAAATCGTGTATACAGTGTATACAATATCCATACCTACACGCAAAAAACACACATCATTGAAAAATCAATTCATTCGTTGTTTTACCACTCAGAAACTAAAATAATGAGAATTATTCCAAACAATATAAGTAACATATAGGTGTTAAAATAATTAGATTTTTAAAATTTAAAATACTATTCAGTATTCGTTGGTATTTAGTATTTTATAATAAATAATAAGTAAGCAATAAATAAATAATTAATACTAATTAGTAATTACTATTAACCTGACTTTCTAACATGGTAACAGCATGGCTTATATAAGTAAAATAAGTGAACGATTTTATAAACTTACATTTCTGTGACATCACTTTCGATTGAAAAGAGTTTAATTTCCTCCATTTATATGCATTTGAATTGTAGTCGAGTACAAAATAATCACGTGGTGATATTTGAGTCGCAGCTGTTATCCTTGCAATTTGAGCTCTGAGATAATGTTTTTCCAAACCTTGAAATAATGGATAGGATTCAACCTGTATACGAATAAGATATTTTATTAGTTGGTACCTGCAAAATATTTTCAAACAGGCGAATAAAATATATATGAATAACGGTGTAGCTAATTGTTGTTGTTGTTCTTACAGGCGATTCCAAATCTCCTGTAAAGTATCGTTTGATATTTCGTGATTGAATAATATGATGAGGCTTGAGCAAAGGCAATTCAATCCACGAATCGTTCAATTGGTTCGTTACAAAGTACGACTAAGTAATGAGTATAATAATTTATATCAAGAGGAAAGCGGGCAACATGACAAAACACATTATGAACCTTTTTATTAGCTCCGAAACCAAATATTTCATGGGATAAATAATCATCATTATCGAGTTCTGTGGGCGGGAAGGAACATTCTTCTGATCTCAGAGAATCGAAAACATCTGACTCGTCGTTAATATCTTTGCTAATTGGTACAGATGCAGTTCTAGAAAGATATCCATTTTCTTCTTCAGATAAAATATATTTTTCTAATTCTACATCTTCATTTTCGTTTTCATTTTCATAATCATGGGGTACATTTTTTTTGCTATCATTTAATATTACATTTAAAAGCTGCAACAAAATACATTACGATGTATAATATTTGATTGTTATTCAAATTTCAGACAATTTATTTCGTTAAGAGGACATTACACCCATATGTGCTGTCTCCGTCTTACAAGCGCGTAACATGGCAAATTTTAAGCTTAGCAGTCACGTTTAAAAATTAAAGTGAATTGTCCTCAGATTAAATTTAAAAGGAAGAATATTATCTAATGGACCTCAAAGGGTTTATTTTATATTTTAATGTTAAAGCAAGCTATAAGTATTTTAAAATGCACAATTTACTGTTTTTAAATACTTATAACTTGCTTTAAAATTAAAATATAAAAAACACTACGAGGTTAACCAAATAATATTCTTCCTTTAAAAATGTATACGAGGTCAATTCATTCAAATTTTTAAATTAAATGAGCAAACATGATCTGCTGAGCATAAAATTTGCTACGTTATGCGTTTGTGAGACAGAGACAACAAATACGGATGTAGCGTCCTGTTAATAGCTAAATATTTATTGAGCATATTATAATTAAAAAAAAATACCAATTATATCATTGGACCAGTGAAATTAGAATAAAGAAGTGATTCTTTAGTGCTTACCCTTAGTTTATATTCCAATTCTTTATTTTTCCAATCACACTCCAAAATGTAATAGTTATGTTTTAAGCCTATTATTTTACCCCAATATCTGTGAACATGAATACATTCATTAACATTTTTAAACCGAAAATTGGTAGTATTGCACCAAAATATATGTACCTTATACTTTTAAATTTTCCTAGTTGTGACATTTGGTCTATGGTTATTCCAATAAGATGAGATTCATCATTTGTTATGCCACACCCTGCTTTATTGAACATGTTATTGCTTTTTGATAAGTCTTGTACATTAATTTCATCTATTTCTTCATTGTATTGCACATCATCATATTCACCTTCGACTTCATACCCATAGGATATACTACTTGCCTTATATTCTTTGACATTATATATGGTATCCTAAGTGCATCCCGCATGCAAAATGTTAACATTTTATACCATATAAAAGTTAATATAAATGTAAATTAAATGATACCTTATATATTTCTATTGTTTTGTTATAGATGTCAATATCGATGTTATTCAAAAAATTCAAATCAGGATCTGGTTGCGATTTCTGATATAGTATCTTAATATTTTCACTATAGTATTCAAAATATGTTATTGGCTGTTTAGGATTTTGAAATATAAACAGATCTAGTAAAGTTTGAATATGTGTGTACCTGTACAACAATTATGTACCATCTATAATACAATAATAGCTAGTCATAATTAGAAGATACCATACAAACTAATGCCACCGTTTTCTTTACTTATCATATATGACAATAATTCACTGGATACAGATTTAAGCATTGAGTTTCTACTTTTCATATTTGTAGTTTTTCTATTGGTTTTAGCTTTATGTTCTATTTTTCCTAAAATATTCAACATATTTAAAAATGTTTTCCTGCTATTTGTATTAAATTGAATCTAAAATTTAAAAAAATAAGACAATGTTATGTAAATGAAAGTAATATAATTTACAATACCTACAGATAAAACTATTAAGAGTTTTGTTGTCAAGGTACCTATTTATACATTTGCATAATATTATAATATTGTATACACAATATAATATTCTATACAGCCTATATATTTTAAGTTAAAAATGCCTCTACCCTAAGAAAAAGATTCAACATTTGTTTTGCCTGTAAGCAACAAAATAATAATTAGTTAACAAGTGTTAGTGATGATGGCTAATGACAATCTTGAAAACTTGTATTCTGTTTTATATTTTGTTAGTTTATTATTTCCACATTTTCATTGAGTATACCGTATGCATAATAAGGGATATACTCTATGCCACGAGAAAAGTAACCCGTTTTGCTCATGCAGACTGATGGCAGCAACTGTTAAGAAGCCCCGTTTTCCCCACTTTGTACCATTTAGTGTCGCGTTATGGCATGCAAACTATAAACGATTGTAATCGTGCGACTTCAATATGTCAAAAAGGTGGAGAATGCATGAATTTGAAGGCCATTAGGTCAGGACACGGGTTACTTCTCTCGTGGCGAGAAGTATACCAATATAATATACTGTGTTTACTTTATAGGCTATAACAGGGATTCTCAAACTGTAGTATGCGTACCCCTTGGGGGTACTTAAAATGTTTTAAGGGTCTGGCCAACAAGCCAACAAGGAAAAAATTCTTTAAGTCTTTAAATTTTTTTATGTATATTTTAGTTTAGTAACTAAGAATGGGGTACTCAAAAAAATGTATTGATAAAAAAGGGTACAGTATTTATAAGAGTTTGAGAATCCCTGGACTATAGGATCTATATGGCTCAATGTCTGTACAACCTATAGACATAATATTATAAGTCATTTGCTCATAGTATAGAGATTTAGATTCATTTACAATTGAAAAATAAATCAAGATTTAAAAAGGTAATATTTTACTATATACAATCATAGAATAATGCATACTTTAACTATCTTAATCATTATAAACATAAATTATATTATATTTCTCAGGTACTTTTTTTTTTTACAGAAACTGTTTGGATCAACTAAGAATAACTTCTCTTATTCCAACATATGGTTTAAAGTGAAGAAACACAATGTGACTCAGTTCTCCTAACTGGAACCAATTAAGAAGCAGCCCAACTAACATTCACTCCAAAATGTTAGAACGCTCAAATCAGACTAAAATTAAGTATCATTATTTTAAAAAAATTGTTTCATATTTAAAAAAAAATGTTTATTTGGTACAAAATAGCACTTGTGTTAAGGATAGTGGTGAGTATTTAGGTTTTTTTCATATCCAAAGCAGATTTACTGTATAATCAACAATAAATTATATATCTTACTAGCAAATAAAAAAAAAAAACTTATGTAATAAGTAAAGTTAGGATGTTGATGACATTTGATGGCATTTTTTTCCTTCGATTCTATACAATGCTAAAAATTTGTTTCATGCTCCTTTGATGCAGAATATTCTAATTTTTATTTTGCATTTTTAGCTATAAATTTATTTTTTAACATTTTTCAGTTATTTTTTGTAGTTTTTGTGCAATGTGGGGCATATTTCTCACATTTTAGTTTAGAGCAAGTGTTAAACCCAAGTTTAATTTATTTTTAGTAATTTTATATAATGCTTAAAATGTAAATGTATAGGTACTATTGTTTATTAATACTATAATTTATAATTCATATTTTGAATTACTATTACAGTATTACACCCATGAACACACCTCAATTTCTAATAAAAATTAATATTTATAAATACATTTTTTCACTTACTTCATTAGTTTTTAAAATTATTTTTAAGGTAATTTTTTGCACTTTTTTTAGGGCATTTTTGTGTGTTTTTGGGTCATCAACATCCTAACTCTAGTAATACGTAATAGGTAATTTTTTTAATCCAAACATCAAACAATTAATCATTAAAGTACATTCATTTTAGATTTTGAGTGGAACAATGAAAGTTTTGATTTAAAAAATATTTTTGAGCACAACACTTTTCCACTATTTATTTATTTTTGTATTTTTTATAAACGTGCATGTTATTGTATATCACCTATATTGTAATGAATATTATAATATTTAATTTTTAACTTTCACCAATAGAATGCCACAAAGTAGATAAAGCTAAACGCAGATTATGGTTTACTAAATCTCAGAATCATTATCATATTTTCATAAATATTTTTTAATAAATTAACAAAACATCATATACATTTTCAAACATTATTATATTTGCATGGACATTGAACAATTAATTTATTATAGATATAACACATTTTGAATAAGATCAATAAAATACATGACAAAATATTTCAAAATGTATTACAGATATATTTTATTAGGTAGATGAAAATATTATTAACTGGCAAGATTCAAAAATATTTTTGAACAATATTATTAAAGTATGACATTTATGTACAAATTATATCACAAAAATTATTATTTATTTATTGTGACAAACTTCATACTACAACTATGCAAATACCATATATATTTTGTTTGTATAATAAATAGGTATTTATTTCTTAAACATTTAGAAATTGATATATTTTAAGTGTATAAAATATTAATACTAATAATAACATTATTATAAATTATAATAATAGTAAATATGATTAACAATATTAGCCTATTTTATACTTAAATTTTTTTTTAGAAATTAATTTCAAAAACTGTTATGAAAACATGAAAATACTCGCTTATAGCTATATATATACTTTTAATATTTCATAAGTGCAAGATAGATATTTAATCAAATATTCAAATTTAACAATAATTATGTAAAAAATTTAAAAAAAAATTAAATAAACATTTTAACACTAATAATATTAAAAACATTGAAAATGCCGATATTTTAAGTCAATTACATCATAAAAACTTAAAACCATAAAGAGATTTCCTTAAAAAACAATTAATACATAACATAATGCTATGTTATGTTAAAATATTGTACATACATAAACTTGATTCATATATAGGTAATATGTTTCTGGGACTTTTTAATTCATTATTTTGTTACATTTTAATTAAATTAATTTTTCAAAACTTATGTAAAAATAAAAAAATAATAAAAATTATAATATGGGTAAATCTTTGTTACCATCAAAACTAAAATATGAAAATATTTATGAAAATAACAAAAAATAAATAAGTAATTATGTATTAATATTATATAATCATTTAAATAAATACATAATTTTGAGTGATTAGTTTACATAAAGTAAGTATAAAATGTTTTAGTTAACCAATTAAGGCATTTGAAGAAATGGATAAAGAAAAGTCAGAATTCAATAATAATGATTTTTTTAAATTTAAAAGTGGTTAACAAATAATTTCAAATATAACTTATAACCTAATAATATTGTAAAACTAAATAATTAATTAAACAGGTAGGTAGTAATGTACATGTACATTTTGGCAGGTAGGTATAGAAATAAGTTTTTTAATTTATGTTAATACCAATTTGTTTTTATTTAAACGAGAAACAATTAACATTTTATCTAACATTAGGAATAATGTTAGGACCATTTATATACTATAGATATTGATATAAAATATAAATAAAACTAAATGAGTTTATAAAAAGGAGATTAATTTTCTGAATCAAATATGCGTACCCTTACACGTTGCTTATAATGATACTCTTTTAAGTACGCCTTTAACAATTTTGGAAGTTTCAATTGATTGACATCATCATATGTAATTTGACTACAAATAGCTGCACGGCATGTATGTTGCAAAGAAAATGTGAAATTTCGATGTAACGGTATGGTCAGCATAGGTTCAAAGAACATACAACAAGTAGGATCTTTATAATGTTCTATTAGTCCACAAACTGTAGATGATGCAAAAACACCAGGATCCCTTGAATCAAAACTAAAGAGATGATTCCACTGTTCAATTCGTGCATGTAAAGAACGACCATATTTCCTGAAGCTTACAGAAAACAAATATTCTTCTTGAGCCGAATCTCTAAGTAAAAATGTACCCTCAGGTTTATTTTCAAGCAATTTTTCTGCCTCATATCTGTCCATTTTGCCCCAATAAAACGAACAATTTGTGATTTGAAGTAGATCAGGAACTAAGTAGTGAATGTAGTCAATGGATGTATGTATTCGATGGCTGTCATCCATATCATGTGGTGCAGTTAGGGCAGTAAGTGCAGCTCTATGGAATAATGAGGTTAAATTGTCTATAGTCATTTTAGGCAAACTAAATTCTACCAACTGTATGTGTAACCCAGGCCTGAATCCTGGAGGTGGTTCGATACCCTCTTGGATTTCTTTGGCCCGTTCTTTATAAGCCCTGTCTTCAAAGTCTTCGTTCATAAATTCTTCGCCGCTCATATCTGAATGCAGATCCATAAGGCCTTCATCGAATGAAGGTAATACCAATTGGCTGTGACTTTCAAACGCGTTGAAAGCATTGAACGCACCTTCAAAGTCGAGCAAGTCTTGCGATGTTTCATCTTCTTCATTTAGATCTTCATCTTCGACCGGCACAGGAGAAGGATCAAACATCACATCATCGTCGTCCACATGATGATTGTCTTCCGTGCGCTCATATCGTGTACACACACACGTATCGCACTTGACTTCGTTTGGCTCGGGAACATTTTCAGGCGGATTATAACACTTACTCTTCGACTTTGGGCGAGAACAATTGAAACGCAACACCCAGTGGTTGAGCTTCTTGGAACCGGCAGTAATCTTTGTCGACGATGACTGAGTGTTCTTGGACGTCACAGTCTCTACACCGGAGGTCGTTGCTAGGGCTTCGCAACCATTCACATTCTGGTCATTGCCGGATGTGGAAGGCGCGTCACTGTTGGAAACGTAAAGGTTCTCGAAATGCTGCTGGTCTCCTGTGACTGGGACTCCGTGCACTGCACAGACAGGAACGGAAGCTGCGGCCGGGATGGATGCGCGCGGACTGTTTCTGGCTCCTGCCGTCGACCCGTCATTGTTTTTCGACGAGTCAGCATTCTTCCAAGAGAACACGTCGCCAAGGCTGCTCACTTTTTGTCCCATTTTCACGTCAATCCGAACACGTCATTTATCAGAAACAGATCAATCAATTTCACCGGAACGCATCAGAGTGAAAAAAGAAAACGAACGGCGGCTGTCGAACGGGAAACGGCGGACTCCCGAAATAAAAATGTCTTCCCGGACCGGATGTCGAGTCGCCCACCGACGACGTCGCGATCGTTTGCTCCGAGTCGTTCGCGCGTGTGGTGTACTGGTGTCCGTCGGACGGCGGTGGCAGGCAGCGAGATCGGAAAACGGTAAGAAATTTACAGGGGAAATAACGAGTCAATATGAGACAATGGCAACTACCACGATCGGATCGTTTTATTGTTTTTCTTGCTCGCGACAACTTCCGTCCGTGATAGCCGACGACGACAATCCTGTAAACGACTATAACATTTATGCAGCTTACACATTTATTATTATTATTATTATTATTATTATTATTATTATTGTGTTTCTCTGTTGCCTGCGCGTATCACCACTATCATCGTGCGTTGTGCGTATGCGCGTATGCGCTCGTGCCGTAATGTGTGCGTGTGCGTGTCGTTTTATATTGCGCATGCGTGTCGCTTTGTGTTGCGCCGTGTGCGATCCCCGCGTCGGACGTGCTCGCTGTTCTTGCTGCCGCCGCTTTACTTTCACCATCATTCTTTTTTTTCGTACGTATCGCCGTAGCGTCGGACCACATCAGCTCTCCCGAGTCTACCTCCATGCATCCGATTAAATAACATGCTAGTTTATCATGCCTCCATGCATACTGCAAAGTTTTTTAACCACCAAACTCACACAATCATCCCGGTACCGATAGTTTATTATTTATGTATTAGGTATATAGTATATACCTACCTGGTACCGAGAGAGCCTAAATATAAACATCATTACATAAAGGCTCTCTTCTTACATGTATACTGGCTTCCTATGTCAATGTCAATAATTCAACATGTCATATTAAGTAATAAGCATATTATAATAAATTAATGCATGGTATACTTTTAAAACATCTACCTATCGATTATTGTTATGAATTTATGACTAATAAATAGTTATTATTTATTATCATTAGGTATACTTGCTTATAACTGAAATCTTTAATTATGATACCCACTATATTATTGTTTTTAATATCATAATATTTTATAGAATAATAAAAACAATTATAACAGTATAATTTTACAGTCAGGGCCATATTGAGGATTTTTGTGTTAAATATTATATATTACCTACTTGTATTTTATATAAATTGAAGGCACTTAGTAATAAAATAGTACCATTCACACAATTACTTTAAGTTCTTACGCCATTTGCAATGAAATATTTATTAACCTATTAGATT